CAAATATGTAACTATCAACAAGTGAATCTAAAAACCAAGGAAGTTAAAAAAAAATCTGATGAACAATAGTAACTGTTGAATATAATAGAATCAGAGGTATGGAAGGGGAGTGAACTGACGATTCTTGGGGAAAAGGGGAGAGGGGGGCGTGGGAAGAGACTGAACATAAACTGTGCACCTACGGATGAGGACAATGGGGAGAGGGAAAAGGGCAGAGGGTGGGGTGGGAACCTGGTGGGGGAGAGCAATGGTGGGGGGGGGGAAAAGGAACATTTGTAATAATATGAACAATAAAAACTTATTAAAAAATATATATAGTGACAAGAGAACTGCAGTGCAGAGTGAGATTATGATACCTAAGTAATCTATTTTTAAAAACCTCATTCCTTCTTAAAAAAAAAGGAAGTTGGACAATCCAAAAGGTCAACAGAAAGTGTGCCTCACCTCATAAGGTTAAGAGGAAAAGAGAACTGCTCTGACGATAGTTCATGAACTTCCCCTTCTGTTCTGCACTTCAATTTCTCCCAATCCATTCACTATAGTCAACTCAAATGCAAAGATGACTAAAATAATTATAGCTAACATTCAGCATCCCAGGACTTAAGCATCCAGGACTGCTCTACATAATTTGTATTATCTTATTTCATCTCCATAGTATTGCCTTTTACAAATGAGAAATAAAAGCAAACAGAGTTAATAGAACTTGCCCAAGGTCATAAAAACCGTAAGTGAAGAGCTGTGATGAGAACCTGACAGTGTGGGCGCAAGATACAAAGCAGACAAATCAAGTTCTCTTCATCTCATGCCCAGTAATGTTTGGGTGATGTGGGCAGGTGCAGTCACACCTGAGAGCAAGTCAGTGGCCAGAATAGGTGTGGCCGCTGCAAAGGCGGGAAGATTTAATACTTAAACTCTTGCTGCTCGTAACTGACTCCTGGTTTGTGAGGCTCCCACACCCTGCACTCACCCATGTGGCTCATGGCCATGTGGGACCCACACAGTGGACTGAATCTAGCCTGATGCTACAAGGGAATCAGCTTCACCACGGAACCAAAGCTCTGGATACTGACTTTGCTTTAATTAAATTCTGCTAAAGCCCCAGCTGCACCTCTATCAGGATTGGATTAGGGGAGATGGGACTCTGGAGCCTGATGAATGGAAAGCCACAAAAACAAAGCTTTTTACCACATCTCATCCTCTGGTGGGGCCTCCAGATGTGCTCATTCCAGCGGTGCCCAAGAACCCCATTCCCACTAGCAATGGAGAAATTCAATTCTCAGGTAACACAATGTCCTGAAATATCAGGAGTTTTTCTCCTCTCTGGGTCCTTGGGCAATACATCAGTCTGGTGTCACATTAAACCTGCTCTTTCAATAAGCACTGGCAGAATTACTCCAGGGGAGGGGGGCATCATGGTATTCTCTGTAAATTTCTCATGCCATCTCTGGCCTGCTCAGTGCAGTCCCATTCACTTCCATAATCACTGGTTCTCCGGCTGTGGTCCCTGAGAATCTTTTATGAGGTCCAGAGAGTCAAAACTACTTTCAAAATAATTGTAAGAGCTTCAACAGAGACCACATGACGCACAAAGCTGAAAATATTTGCTATCTAAATCCCTTACAGAAAAACTTGGCTGACTCCCACTTTAGAGCGTGAACCTTTCAAAAAGCCATGCTTACAGTTCTTTCTAACCTACACAGAGCAGGCTGTATTTGTACCAAAATATACTTAAAAATAAAAATAAAAAAGAACCTCGTAGTGAAAACACTAGAAGCAAATCCTGAAAATAAACAGATACAATTCTATAGGAGGTTTGTGTTCCAGCTCTCTCCTCTTATGATTTAAGGTTTTTATCAGGACTTTTATCCAGAGCTACATACCAAAGCCAAATACCCAAAAATAGACTACAAATCAGGCTGGGCAGGCTGAAGACCTTTAGAGGCCACCCACTAAAGATGACGGGTGACTTCTGCTGCCAGCCAGGAATGAATAACTGGTATGGAACTAGCCCTCCAGCCAAAAACTAGAAAACTGGACAAAATATGAAACAAATGCTTTCAGACAATGGGACAATCAGTGGAGGAGAACTAAGATTCCAGCAAAAAAGGAAACAAAAGAGATAAGTCCTGCCAGTGTCCTCCTCCCAGCAAGAAAGGGAGGGTGTGTGTGTGGCGAGGGGGGGGGGGGGGCGGGCAAGGAGAGCACAGGAATCTTAAAGGGCCTAGGAGCCAGAGACTGGAGTTCAGGAACGCTGAGGCAGCAGGGGTTTGCAAGATAGAGCCCTTGGAGGGAGCTATGCAGGGAAAGTGCCCTAGGAACCTGCACAGGGATCCCTTAGGCCTGATGCTGAAGCCTGAGCTGCTGAGGAACAGCCGGGAGCTGTAAAGTGAACAATTCCAGAATTCACACAGCACTGGAAGACACTCCTTGTCAGGGCACATGGCCAGGTTGCAGGTTCAGTCCTGGCTGGTGCACAAGGGAGGCACAGGTTGATGTTTCTCTCTCTCTCTCTCCCTCTCCCTTCCTCTCTTTAAAACCACTAAAGAACATATTTTTAAAAACAAAAAAAAAACAAAACAAAAAAACACTTAAAAGATAAAAAAAGGACATTCAGATTCTACCCAGCAGAGTAGAGGTCTCACAGAACCCTCCAGACAATCAACAGAGACTCCAGAAAGGCCAATGTAACAAAGCTAAATTAGCCCTAAAGTAAAACTATACTAGACCTTCCCTAGTGTAAAGGAATATCTACAAATAACTTCCTGGCAAAACAAACACCAAAACTCCTTAAAGGAAGACAACAACACCCAAAACTCAACAACATAATACATACAATGTCCATGTTAAGCAGCAGCAATAGATCGAAATGACAGAACTAGCAAAGATATTGAAACAGCTATATAAATATGCTTCACATATTCAAGAATATAGAAGAAAATGAGCATAATGAAGAAAGAAGTGAAAGATAGAAATTGAAAGGGTTAAAAAGAATAAAATGGGTCAGAGAAAAACTTACTGTACTTAGCGGATATCTTGCAGAAAGCTTGCAGTCTTGAACACAGCATAGCTCAGATAACCAGAAGACACCTGGCATGAGAGGAACCAAGGATGGACTGGACCCTTACATCAGCAGAGCCGCTCACAGCCAGCAAAAGTTAATAAAAACCTCTCTCCCTGTTCTCTTCGCTGATGCCTTTCTCAGTCTCAGCCCACCTGCACCCAGGTGCCAGGAATAAAATCTCTTTTGATACATTATGGCCTCATGTCATAGGTGCGCAACCCCACCCCACTCCAAATCTTTCAGAAATAAGATTCCATTTAATTCTTTCTTATGTCGTCTACAGCTGAAAACTCCACCCCCTGAAATTAAAAATTCACTGAATAGACTTAACAGCAGATTAGACACTGCAGAAAACAAAAATAGTGAACTTGAAGGCATAGAAATACAAACTTTTCAAATTAGTGTCAGAAAGAAAAAAGAATAGGGGAAAAAAAACAAATGAGCCTCAGATTTGTAATTAGAGTCTCAGATAGAGAGGGGGTAAGAAGAAACAGTATTTGAAGAAATAGCAGCAGAAATTTTCCCAAATTTGATCAGAACTGTAAACCCATAAATCCATAAAGCTCAAAGAACACTAGACAGAATAAACAAAGAAAATCATACCAGGGCACATCACAATCAAATCACAAAAACCAATGATATTAAAAAGAAAACAAAAAGATACAAAAAAGATAATATTGATCCCTTGCCTCCGTATATAAGATAAAAACAACTGTAATTCAAAGAAAGCAAATAACATCTTTCTAGGTATTCTGATCCAAAAATGTTGGTCAAGTCCAACAAAGCTGGTCTCCTTTGTAGAGGCCTTCCTTTGGCAGCAGTACCTCTAGCATAAGCTTAGTCTGTCTATAAGGTGATCAAAGTACAGTCAAACCTCGTTTCTCAAACATCTCCTATCTCGAACAATTTGCTTCTTGACTCAACAACCCTTTCATGCTATCTGTATGATCAGCCATGTATCTCGCAGGCAACAAAGAAAGGAGAGAATGCACGAGTATGGGTCAGTTTAGCATCATGAACATCTCAGGAAAATGTGCTGTGAATATTTTCATGTGTGGTTTTTATTATTATTATTATTAAATTTTCATTCTTTTTGTGTGTGTGTGTGTGTGTGTGTGTGTTTTAATATATTTTATTGATTTTGTACAGAGAGGAAGGGAGAGAGATAGAGAGTCAGAAACATCGATGAGAGAGAGTCATCGATCAGCTGCCTCTTGCACACCCCCTACTGGGGATATGCCCGCAGCCAAGGTACATGCCCTTGACCGGAATCGAACCCGGGACCTTTCAGTCCCCAAGCCGACGCTCTATCCGTTGAGCCAAACCAGTCCTGGCTAAATTTTCATTCTTAATGTACATTTCTTTTCCTTTTTATTAAATTTTTATTTACATTTCTTGCCAATTTTTAAGTGTTTATTTATAGATTAAACAGTACATTAGACATTATTGTATATAAGGAAGGTTAAAACAGGGAACCACTTGGGGGTCTGGAATGGATTAATTCAACTTACATTATTTCTAATGAAAAAAATGCTTCGGTTTTCCACCAGCCTTCCAAGAACAAATCTAATGTTCCACTGTAGAATTAAGTTACTGGAAAACATATTTATTAAATGCACTTGTATACTGTAAAGTTCACAAATGCCACATACTTTTGATTATATGTTCCTTGAGGTCAGGAACCTTCATATTTTAGCCCATAAATTTCTAGTGCACATACTGCTTGAACACACATGAATGAATCAAGCTTATTTCATCCTCAGCACATTACTATATGGCACAGAGAACAAGATGAAAGAACAGGTGCCCAGAGGGATTAAATGATCGTCCCAAGGATACACACAAAGTGAGCAATATCTAGCATCCCTCCCATAATGCCCCCATACAAGTTACCTCAAAGTAGACACAAAAGAAATACATTTTAATTATGACTACTTACTCTGAGTTTCCACAAGATCGAAAGCAACACTAGAAGCTGTGTCCATTCCAGTGTTGATGCAGGTTTGGAAGTTTTTTAAGGAGGAGAGAGCAGATTCTATACTGCTGAAGGATATAAAACCAGTTGAACCTGAATTTGAACTGGAACGCCCAGGCATCTTGAATTTTTACCTAAGTTTTCAAACACAATGAAATACAATTTATGAGTTTTTATAAAGAATTTCTAAAATTTATAAAGAAAAATAACTTTATTTTTTTTTTATCTTAAAAAATCAAGACCTGGCCGAAACCGGTTTGGTTCAGTGGATAGAGCGTCAGTCTGCAGACTGAAAGGTCCCAGGTCCGATTCCAGTCAAGGGCATGTACATTGGTTGCGGGCACATCCCCAGTAGGGGGTGTGCAAGAGGCAGCTGATCAATGATTCTCTCTCATCAATGTTTCTAGATCTCTATCCCTCTCCCTTCTTCTCTGTAAAAAATCAATAAAATATATATATTTTTTAAAAATCAAGACCTAAGGGCAAAATGTTAAACATGCTAAAATCCAAATCACAAAACAGGTTCCTGTTAGGTCATTTTCTGAAGCTTTCTGCAGTATTAGTATTTTACACCAAAAGACAGAATATATGACCATAAATAACCAATGATGATTTTTTAATATATGCATTTTAGCGAAAGACACTGTTATTTAAAAATCTCACTTTATTACAACAAATAAGTTGAAATAGCTTATACAATATAAACATATACATACAATAAATTCATAAAAATCAGAATTAAAAAAACAGACTAAAGAGAAAACCAAGTACATGAGAAAATTAGAATGCAATCATGTAGGCTTTAGGATTCTTTAGAATTCTACACAGTATTATATTTGAAATACAGATTTGGCTATGAGCATCTTGACAGTCATAGAAATGCCTTATATGTTCACTAGCTTTTAGAGAAATGCAAATCAAAACCACAATGAGCTACCCCTTCATACCTGTTAGAATGGCTATTATCAACAACACAATAAATAAAAGTGTCTGAGACATTGTGGAGAAAAAGGAACCCTCATTCACTGCTGGTGGGAATATAAATTGATACAGCCATTATGCAAAACAATGGGGAGGTTCCTCAAAAAATTAAAAACAGAGCTATTACCCTATGACCCAGAAAGCATTTATTCATAAAGTCTTTGTACCCCTATTGCAGCATTACTCACAGTGGCTAAGACATGTATACAATCAATGTATCTCTCAATACATGACTGGATAAAGAAGATGTGGTATATATACACAATAGAATATTAACTACTCAGCCAAAAGAAAAAATGAAATACTGTCATTTGCGACATGAATAGAACTTGTGAACATCATGCTAAATAAAGTAAAAAAGACATATGATTTCACTCTTATGTGGCATATAAAATTGAGAGCAAATGAACAAATCAGACAAACAAAAACTCAGACACAGACAACCATAGGATTCCAGAAGGAAAGGGGGATGAGGGGTAGAAGAGGGTAAAGTGGGTCAAATAAATGATGACAGAAGATTACTTGGGTTGGTGAACTCACAAAGAAATATTCCAACAACGTATTACAGAAGTGTATATTGAAACCTATATACTTTTATTAACCATGTCACCCCAATAAATTCTATAAAAAATGTTTTTAAGTGAAAGTTTCAGAATTCTCTTTCTCCATAAAGAAAAAGTACACCAGTAATTCCTGGAAAATAAGTCTGTCCATGGCGATCAAGGCATCGTGGATCATCACATAGCCCAATATATAAAAACCCTGGGTCCATCACATCCATAACGAACAGAGGCTCGGCCAACCAAAAGTCAGTCCTGCAGTCAGCGCTAGGGCAACCCAGCACTGACTGCTAGGGCTGCAGGCACAGTGACCCAGCACTGACTGCTGAGGGGGCTGTGAAACAGGCCCGAAGAGAGGCCTAAAGAGAGAAGCAAGGTCTGATCCATAGACTCTGTGACAGCTGTTGATCAGCACTTGCCTCTTTTTTTCTGGGCCTGGCCAGCAGACACCCCTCCATTTCTCTCCAAGCCTCCACAGGGGCTACTTATCAGCCCGCCTTAATGATCAGGCCCCATTGATAGGTCCAGAGACATTGACTGGCACAGAAACTGACCAATCAGAACCAAATTTGGGTGAAATGTGAGGAACCAATGGCTGCCTAGGAGATGGAGCTTTTGATGCAGACTGGCATAGAAACCGACCAATCAGAACCAAATCTGAGTGAATGGTGAGGAGCCAATGGCTGACTAGGAGGCAGAGCTTTTGGCACTGACGGTATAGAAACCAACCAATCAGAACCAAATTAGCCAGCAAAGGAGGGCAGTTGGGGGCCAGATCAGGCCTGCAGGGGTGGGCAGTTAGGAGTGATCAGGCAGGCAGAGGCAGTTAGGGGTAAACAGGGTGGCAGGGAAGGGTAGTTGTGGGCGATCAGGACAGCAGGGGAGAGCAGTTAGGGGCAATCGGGTCGGCAGGGAAGTAGTTAGGTGTTTGTTAATCAGGCCAGAAGGGGAGGGGTTAGGGGGCAATCAGGCTGGCAGGCAGAAGTGGTTAGGGGCAATCAGGCAGGCAGGCGAGCAGTTAGGAGCCAGTAGTCTCAGATTGTGAGAAAGATGTCCGTCTGCCGGTTTAGCCCCAATCCAGACATCCCCGGAGTGGTCCCAGATTGGAGAAAATGCAGGCTGGGCTGAGGGGCACCCCTGTCCCCAGTACACAAATTTTGTGCACTGGGCCTCTAGTCTATAATAATAAAAGAGTAATTTGCAAATGGACCAAAAGGCCAAAGAGTGGACCGACCATCTGGACGCCCTTTCGGATGACCTTCTAGATGAAGTGGGGGCTGGGAGGACCAAGGCAGCCACGGGGACTGCAAAGGCCTACTCCCGCACGAATTTTGTGCATTGGGCCTCTAGGGAGATAATAAAAGTCATACTGAAAAATATCCTCAGATAGTAGCTTGGTGCCCACCCATCTCATTTCCTCTTCAACTTGGTCACATAGCTTGACCATAGTTTGCAGCCTTCCTTGCAATTGGGTGTGGTCATATGACTGAATTCAAGGCAATGATGTATAAGCCATATGCAGGCCCAGTCCATAAAAAACACACTTTCGCCATACTCCTTCCCATTTTGATAGCTTGAAACAGGCAAGCAGTGCCCTTGGAAGCTCTAAATTGAAGATGGAGAATATGGAAAAAGCCCAGAACCTGACATCACTGTTTGGAGGAAAACTGCCCCACTAATCAGGCTCAGTGCATGAAAGAAACAAAAACTCTAACTGTGCAAAGCCACTTAGATTTAAGAGTTCATCAGTCATACTACTGTTACTCAAAAAATACAAACTTGCTGGGATCAAATGATATGGTTCAAGTGCTCAGTTTCCTAGTCTGATTCTTGTGTAAGTCTACATGATCTAGATAGAACAGCATTATCCAAAACAGTGGTTGGCAAACCGCGGCTAGCAAGCCACATGCGGCTCTTTGGCCTCTTAAGTGTGGCTCTTCCACAAAATACCATGTGCAGGCGCGCAAGTACAGTGCGACTGAAACTTCGTGGCCCATGCACAGAAGTCAGTTTTCGGCCTGGGCGAGTCTGTTTTGAAGAAGTGGCATTAGAACACTCAAGGGGCCAAACAGCCACATGTGGCTCGCGAGCCGTGGTTTACCGACCACTGATCCAAAGGAACTTTCAGACGTGACAAAAATGGCAGAGGCTCTGCACTGTCTAATATGATAGCCACTAGGTACATGTGTGGCTATCCATTACTTCAAAAGTGGTCAGCATGACTGAGGAACTGAGTTTTTAATTGTGTTTAATTTTAATCAATTTAACTCATGCATCTAGTGGCTGCTGCATTGGGCAGCACTGTTCTACAGACATGATTTTCAAAGTGTGTTACATATATGAACTAGGGATAAAGCCCCAGTACAGGCAGGACACATCTTCCTGGAATATCATTTTTACTTACAAATAACATGAATCGTGTTTAGACTAAAATAAACATTAGCTGCCTTATGGAGCAGAATATGGAGGCAATATAGAGCAGGGATTAAGCCTGTAGCTTCAAGAGCCAGACTATCGGAGTTCAAAGCCTGATTTTACTACTTAAGTATCTCAATGACTTTAGGCAAATTATTTAACCTCTCAATGCTATACCCTAACTTTCTGTAAAATAAGGATGATCCAATGCCTATGAGTTTGTTCATAGATATAGATATAGACATAGATATAGATATATAGATATAGATATACCCTATTTCCCTGAAAATAAGACAGTGTCTTATATTAATTTTTTCTCCCAAAGTTGCGCTAGGTCTTATTTTCAGGGGATGTCTTATCTTTCCATGCGCTAGGTCTTATTTTCAGAGGATATCTTATTTTCAGGGGAACACGGTAGATATAAATATATAGTTATAGATGTGTGTGTGTGTGTGTGTGTGTGTGTGTGTGTATAATAAAACACTCAGAACAATCCCCAGCACATAAATCTTTTAACATGGGGACAGATATTACCATTAACTTCATCATTATAACCCTGTGAAGGGCAATACAAAGTAGTGCTTAAGAAAACAGACAGTGGACCCAGAGGCCTGGAACTTCCATCCTGTCTATGCCCTGGTTAAGTTTCTTACCTTCTCTATCTGCAGCTTGCTTCTGTGTAAAAGCAGAAAACCACATCTATCTCATAGCATTATTAAGGATAAATAAAATTTTGCAGTTTTCTCCAACTTCTCTGATCTTAAGAATCATTTGAAATGCTTACTAAAATTACAGATTTATGGATACTATCTGAGATCCATTGAATCAGTCTCTACTGGACACACTGAGGAAACTGAGTTTTTATGAAGTTCCCCCAGATGATTCTTAGGACCAAACATGTATGGAGAACATTAAGATAATGTGTCTCCCCAAAATTCATATGTTGAGACCCTAACACTCCATGTGATGGTATGCGGAGATGAAGGCTTTGGGAGATAAGCAGGTTTAGATGGGGTCATGAGGATAGAACCTTCAGGATAAGATGGGCATCTTATTGGAAGAGGAAGAGGAAGAGACACTAGGGTGCATTCTCATTCTCTCTGCTCCTCATCCTCCTCCTCCTCACAAGTGACCACAAAGCAAGAAGGGGGAAGGTGGCTGGCTGTAACCCAGAAAGAGAGCCCTCACCAGTATCCAACCATGCCAGCATTTGTCTCCAAAAGACTGTAAGAAATGATTTCCTGTTGTTGAAGTTACCAGCTTATGGGTTTGTTTTTTTTTAAATAGCAGCCCAAGCGGACTAAGATGCAATATATATAAGGATTAATGCAATTTGGGATAAATGGAAAAGGGTTTACCACATGGTAGCTATCCTTTTGTGTGCAGGCAAAATCCACACTACTCCGATAAAACTTTACCCTTGCAGAGAGCTAGGGAAAACTTTCTTCTGTGATTCTGGAATGTTTCAAAGGAAAAGATTCAGACTGGGAAGCTGAGAGAGTGAATGGAGCAGAAAAAATGGAGTAGACACACACTCTTCCATTCTTCCCATGAAGTACAGCTAAGGATATGTCACAGCACAGCCCCCAAAAGAAAGGACTGTTGGCCCCGGTCCAACTGTGCAGTGGTTGAGAAACCCCAGGTTAAATCAGCCTCCTCTCGGAGCCTTCCCCAGGTAACAGCCATCCTTTGGTCCCTGTTCCTATGGTCTCTGCGACAGTTTAAGTGAGGTTACATGTTTCCTGAGTACCCTCCCCCCCCCCAGCATGTTATTTGGCCTCCCTTAACAGGCCTTGTCCTACTTAGGCTATTCCAGCTGCTACAACAAAATACCAGGCAAGGTAGCTTATAAACAAGATATTTATTTCTCACAGTTCTGGAGACTGGGAAGTCCAATAGCGGGGTGACAGCAGCAAGCTCTGGTGACAGCCCTCTCCCTAGTTTATAGCCCATGCCTTCTAACTCTTTGTCGCCATAAAAGGGACAAGGGAACTCTCCGGAGCCTCATGAGCTCCACCCTCTAGTCCTGAGCACATCACCACCCCCAAAGACCCCATCTACTAAAATAACACTGACATTAGGAATTCAACATATGAATAGGGGAGGGGGCACAAACATTCAGAGCCTAGCAGGTCTGTAAGATTCTGTTGGCAGGACCAGTTATTAGCTAATGGAAAAACGCTGCTTGCCCTGGCGGAGTGGCTCGGTTGCTTGGAGCGGAGTCCCCAGAAGGTTGTGGTTCAATTCCTGTTCAGGGCACATACCTAGGTTTTGAGTTCAATCCCCAGCCAGGTGTGTAGGGGAGCCAACCGATCAATGTTTCTCTTTCTCTCTCTCCCTCCATCCGGGTGTGTAGGGGATGCAACCGATCAGTTTCTTTCTCACTCACTCACTCATCACAACTACTTGCTCCCCCGCCCGCCACTCCTTCGCCCAGGGAGCAGCTTGACCCAGAGCTCAGAAACAGTGTCCGGCACAGGACACAGCTCCCACCGACAGCGACCAGTGAGGCCCGGGAGAAGCCGCAGCAGCAGCCACAGGCTCGGGCCCCGCAGAACCGCCGCCGGCGCTCCCTCCCCCCCTCCGGTCCTCGCACCCCCGGGCGGACCGGAGAGGAACCCGAAGCGCAGCGGGTGCCTGACGTCCCGCCCTCCGCCCGGTGCACAGACACTTCAAACCAGAGATGCTGGGGTCAGGAACGCGTCACCTTCCCCACAGCCTGCGGGCTGGAGGGCGAGGGGAGGGTCCCAGAAGGGGAGGTTGTCAAGAGGCGGGAAAGGAGGGGGACCCCAGCCCGGAGGCCCGTGGAGGCCCCGGAGGGAGGCGACACCTCCCGCCCCTCCCCGTCGCCACCTCGCGCTCCGCCTTACCTGCCGTCCCACCCAGCTCCGCCTGGCTGCACCCCGACGTTCCTACAGCGGGACCCCAAATCCTTCCTCAACCGAGCGCGGGCTCAAACGTCATCAGCCGTTGCCCGCCTGCGGTCACGTGACGCTCCGCCCCTTGGGTCATGTGACCGCCCGGGGAGCCAGGGGCGGAAGCCGGGGTCCCGCGGGTGCCCGGTCCGGGGCTGAGGGCCTGAGGGTAGGAAGCACCCCATCGGAGAGGCGGGGTAGGGACCACCCCCTCCCCGGTGCCGAGCCCGCGCGATCGGCCGCCCGGCTCTGCGCCCTGCGCTGCCCGGATGACAGGTGGGTGGCGGGGTGCACGCGCCCCTCCTTTGCGTCCCGCTTCCCCTCCTGGCCGGGGGGACTTGGGTGGGGTGGGGGTCGGTAGGTGCCTGGCGTGAAGGACTGTGGGACCCCCGGGCTGGGGCTGCCGCCATCCAGGCTGCTCGCTTCCACCCGATGGAAAGTGTGTCCCCCGCCGCCGGCGCTGCGGGGAGGGGCGCCCGGCTGCTTGGCCGGCGTCTGAGCTTCCAATTTTCCGGGAGCCGGGCCGGTGCACGTCGCTATTTCTCCATTTTATCTGGGGAAACTGGGTGCTTAGTGAGCGATTTTACCGCCCGGCGGGCCCAGAGGGGAATTCTAGGTCTGCCATGGGCCGTGGGCCCCGTCCGGCAAGTCATTGTTCCTCTCTGCACCCGAATTCCCCCACCTGGGACATGCCGGTGCCAAAGCCTGCCCATTTCGGAAAAGTGTTCAGAGGCTCCCCAAAACCAAACAAACCAAAAACGTACAGAGCCCATGGCAGACCCAGGGCGCCTGATGGCAAGGCACGGAGTTCCCTCCCTGACAAGGGATGGGGATGAGGGCGGTGGGAGGGAGGTGGAGGTTTTACCGCCTGTACCTACAGTGAGGAACACCTTCCCGTTTTCCTGCTCCTGTCTTTTTTCCAGGACTCATGAATCAGACTAGAGCGATCAGACTCATTTCAGAATTTTTCTGGAGATTCCTATCACTTTTATCTTGAGCCATAACCACCATATTTTTCCCTAATGATGGATGGACTCCTCTCTCTGTGGAACTGAAGGGTAGTGGCAGGATAAAATTAGGCCATCTTTTCTTGTCCTCACAGCGGCTTGTCCCAAGACAATTCATTGTCCTTCAGAGTTCAGTCCTGTGCTCATTGGCTAGTTGGTAGGGTGATTTCATGCTTCATTCTTGAAAGCAGGTTGTCTTTTTGCCCAGGATCACTTTCCAAACTAAACACCAGTTTCATACCAAATTCTGAAAGGTGAAATAACTACCACTTTTCTGGGTGCTTTGTAAAGGCAATTGGAAAATTGAGTGGGATCTCTAGCTTCCTTCCATGCCAAATGGCAGTGCAATCTGCATTGGAACCTTCTTCATCCCTAGCACCAGTAGAACCAAATGGAAGATTTAATACAGCTTCTGCTACAATGTTTAGTTACATGTCATTCTGGAGCAGTGATTCTCAACCTTCCTAATGCTGCTACCCTTTAATGCTGTTCCTCATGTTGTAGTGACTCCCAACCATAAAATTATTTTCATTGCTACTTCATAACTGTAATTTTGCTACTGTCAAAGAATTATAATGTAAATATCTGTGTTTTCCTATGGTCTTAGGCTCTACAGCAGGTTGAGAACTGTTAGTAGGGTCGCCTAAGACCATCCAGAATGATTTTTTTAAGCTCAACTAAGTCTTAAAACCTGTGAAGCTACCTGTCTCTAAGATTGCTTCAGCATTGGTACCCATCCTATCTAATAAAGAGGGAATATGCTAATTGACCATCACTCAGTCACAAAAATGGCTGCACCCACAGCTGAAGCCAAGTTCTCTTAAGGAGCCTTAACAAACAATCAGCAGAGACCTGAGGCTACGCCTTTCCCTGCCCTGTGGGCCTTGACAGAGGACCTCAGGCTGTGCCCCCTGCCCTGGAGTCAGGCTGGGGGACCTCAGGCTGCACCCCAGGCCCCAGTTCAGGCCAGGGGACCTGAGGCCATGGCCCCCACCAGGTGGGGCTTGACAAGAGGCTTCAAGCTGCACCCTCCACCCCAGCACTAGGCCTCACCCCCTGCCTGTCAGGGCTTAACAGGGAACCTCAGGCTGCACCCCCCTGCCTGGCTGGGCTTGACAGGGGACCTCAAGCCATGCCTCTCAGCCAGTGGGATTTGATGGGGGACCTCAAGGTGTACCTCCAGTGCTGGGTCAGGGGAACTCAGTCCAAGCCCCCACCTAGCAGGGTTTGGCGGGGTACCTGAGTCTGCATCCCCCCACCTGGCGGGGCTTGATGGGGCACCTCAGGCCATGCACCCTACCTAGCGGGGTTTGACAGGATCTCAAGCCATGCCCCTCACCTGGTCTGGGCTGAAGGACCTCAGGCCATGCCCACCTGTCCTGGCACCGGGCCAGGGGACCTGAAGCTAAGCCCCTTGCCTGGCAGGGCTTGACAAGGGTAGGACTGGCTGAGTCTGGATCTAGCCCAGTGGGGGTGAGCTGGCCAGGTCTAGGTCTCATGCAATTTTGAGGTGCATGTGGATGGGCGGGGACCTGACTCTGGGTCTTATGGTGTGCCCCAGACTCTGACAGGAGGAAGGTTTTCATATACATTTTACTAATTTTTTTTCATTTCTGACACTTCTGTTATAGAGAAAGGAGGGCAAATAGCAATATTAAATTATTTCCTCTAATTAATCCCCCTTTTAATGTGCACAAATTTCATGCACCCGGTCACAGTAAAGTATAAGATGCTGTGTTGCCAAAATCAGAGTTTAGTAAAATAAACTTTTGACTCCTCTGTCCATTAAATTAGTACATCGTTGTTGCAATTTTATCCTAAATTTTGTTAAGCAGAAACTTATTTTCATCGGTTTTAGCTACAATGTTTTCAGTTATAACTAATCAAACTTTCCTACTACTTGGTATGAAATGCTTGTCTTTACAGTCACTGCGCAGCCTTTCTCAGGCATGTATTACCCTTGATAACTAGGACTTCCTGCACATAACATGTGAGAAAAGCATTTCTAAAGGTGTTCCTTCAACTAATTCTAGTGGATTTTTATGACATACCTTTTCCCGAAGGTAAAACAAGTGACTTTCCTGGGAGGAAAATGTAATAATCAGTGCCCAGTTGAGGGCACATTGAACCACACATGCTCAGTCGTTCCTTCTCCCAAGCTCAGTGGTAGCCGCATTGGGTCTTTCCTCAGGGGGAGAAATGAATCAAGGGTTGAAAAAGAGGCCAAGAGTGTTAATTTATCAAAGCCCTTCCACATGGAAAATGTGAAGAAATTCACCCCCCATCAGAACTCATTTTTTTTTGTTTATTTGTTTGTTTGTTTGTTAGGGAATTTGGGAGAAAAATATCTATGTGTTTCACATGCTTCCTTAAATCGAGATTTATTTTGTTCTTTTGATACAGTTTCTTAAATGGAGCAAACATCTGTCAGACCCGGTTTCCACTAATGATTCGCAGAGCCCATTTCTGAAGCGGGTTAACCGTCCCCACCGGCCACACACGGGGTAGCTGCTGGTCCTCAGGATGTTGGACTTCCTAGCTGAGAACAACCTCTGCGGCCAGGCCATCCTCAGGATCGTTTCCTGTGGCAATGCCATCATTGCTGAGCTTTTGCGGCTCTCTGAGTTTATTCCTACCGTATTCAGGCTAAAAGACAGAGCTGATCAACAGAAATATGGAGATATCATATTTGATTTCAGCTACTTTAAGGTAATCTTCCCCCTCAGCATTTTTACCATTGTCTTTTCTACAAAAGCATGCTTTCTGTGGGGCCCATGAGATGCTGAGGAGTTAAGTCATTATGGAGAAAGAGTTAAATAGGAGGGATTTTTATTTTTATGTTTTTGTTAATCCTCACCTGAGGATATTTTTCCATAGGTTTTTAGAGAGTTGAAAGGAGGGGGAGAGAAAGAGAAACATTGAAGTGAGAGAGACACATTGATTGGTTGCCTCCCGCACACGCCCTGCTCAGGGCCATGAATTGAGCCTGCATCTGAGGTATATGCCCTTAACTGGAATCAATCCCAGGACCCTTCAGACCACAGGCTGATGCTCTATACACTGAGCAAAACCAGCTAGGGCAAATGGGAGAGATTTTTAAACCAAATTTAATATCAGCCAACTAACTTGAAAATAATGTAAAGGTATTGTGTGGAGCCTTAATTAATAGAACCACATTTTATAAAAATAACTTTGATGTAACACATTTCATATTTAAGCATGCTAATTGTGATTGCAATTCAAATTCGTTTCTTTCAAAGGGATTTTATATCTAGGCTTCTGTTATCTTTATTACTTTCTGTTGCTCTGCTTTCAACTTTTGACATGCCTTTTAAGCCATAAGAACACATTTTTAAGACTACTTGGAAATCGTTACCCACAAGTATGTTTTTATTGATTTTTCCATAAATGTGTTTTTCTTCCTAGGGTCCAGAATTATGGGAAAGCAAACTGGAAGCTAAGCCAGAGCTACAGGATTTAGATGAAGAATTTCGTGAAAACAACATAGAAATTGTGACCAGATTTTATTTAGCATTTCAGAGTGTGCATAAATACATTGTAGACTTAAACAGGTATTGATTAATTTAGTAATAGCTTATTCTGATAATAAATTGTGGTGGGGGAAAGGGCCATCCTAAAATATGTCAATCTTTCTGAGTTATTCCACAGTGTACTAGATTATACCATGCATAATTGTCTTGTCCTTCCTGTAGCACTAGTCATCTTAAGTATCTTAGAGTTTTATTAAAGTGTTACAATAATGTTGGTCTATACTAACTTATAATGTGTTTCAATCCTATGGTTTATGATCATATTTTAGTATATTATATATGAGAAGTGGAAAAAAGGAACAATTTTCATGGTCATTCTTTCTTATCCCTAACCACACAATATTCTCTTCCTTCCAGCCCTTAAGAATTCATTACTCACTAGCTTTAAAACTAATTAAAAGCTATTTAAACTAGTCCATGTTTGTATGCCTTTACTTCCTAAGATATTTGTAATTCATAAATTGGGACTAGGGAATATTCCTTTTACTTGGAGTAGCCGTAACCATCAACCTGTGGCTTCCATCGCCATGAGTTTCAGCTCAAAAATTATTTGAAGATCAGAATGCCTGGTATCTTGCTTCACCTTTAGAAATCTTCACTTTTCTTCATCAAAGATATTGTTTAAGTTTTCATTATCATTGAATAACATGCTCTGGGGTTTCATCTTCTAGATACCTGGAAGATCTCAATGAAGGTGTTTACATTCAGCAAACCATAGAAACTGTGCTGCTCAATGAAGATGGGAAACAACTTTTAGTAAGTGCTAGTGACCATTTAAATAGGAGTTCAAGAGTGGCAAGCTTAGCATCACCTTTTTCCTGTAAGTCACAAGTACATACAGAGTACCCTTCTTTAAAGTGAAGCAAAATTCTCTGATAATTATCTTCTGACTAACAGATCTTTGTCCGAATGTAGAACACTGTAACTTGGAACAGAATTACAAGTGACTAAAGATTGTGTAGCGTTTCTGAGCTTCCTCGGTGTAACAGTCCTCTCTTCTTTATCTTTGGCATCCCAGACATCTAGCCTGGCACCTAGTATATAGTGCTCACTTAAGAAATGTCTGTTAAGAAAGTGGATGGCTTAAAGGTGTTCATAATATTCATAACCCAAGCAAAATATCAAAACCAGGCCAGCTGAAAGATTAGCACTCTGAGTTGAAATTTATTTTACATAAAGTTTTCAAAGCTCATTCTGTACAGAAGGTGAGACAGCCCTTCGGGGGGAACCTGCATTTTCCTTGTAATATGAAGCTTTTAGGAGGAATGGGAGAAAAGTGACCTTTTTAACCATCATCAGCATGCCTCCATGAGAATGTCCTCCTGTGAATTTGGCCATTGTCTCTTTCTCTTCCTAGTGTGAAGCGCTGTATCTGTACGGAGTCATGCTGCTGGTCATTGACCAAAAGATTGAAGGGGAAGTCAGAGAGAGAATGCTGGTTTCTTACTATCGATACAGGTATCCCTGGGCTGGGGCTGCATGGGCCAAAAACATGCTATTGGTACAATGCAGTGTAGGTTTCTATACTGCTTTTTATTGCAAACAGCAGCAGTGTGATCTAGAATGCAAAAAAGAGAAGATTCTTAATTTCTTCTGAAGATACAATAGAAATTACAGCAGTTACTATATATTTCATATCATCGTAACAGATTAGATGTCATATAGTCTCCAGATAATAGACATGTTATAGATCATTAGAGATATACAGATTGTCATGTCCGTGACGGTACCTCAGTTTTTGGATGTGTTGTGTGTGTTTTTAAGGGAATCTGAATTTTCTTTATCTTAAAGATAAATTTGCAAATGTGGAAGTCTAATGAATATTCTTCTTTGGTTTGTTTTTATTTTTAAGTCTCAAATATTACTCCTTGTCATATGTAAGGAAATGGATGAATTTTCTGTTCTCAGTTTCAGGTTGATGGCTTTGCAAAGTTATCACTCAGGGATCAGGTTGAAAGGGAATTCTCACCCATATATAAGCAAGGAGACAAACACAAAACAAGCAACAGCACCTGTCATGATCATGTGTTAGGTATGTCCACAAAGAGCTGTGACTTCAAGAAGGAGTATCACTTCAACCAACTCTAATTCTACTACCTAGCACACAGGTTTCAGCTTGTTGACTTAATGAGTCAAAATCTGGATACAGGGTTAATGTCAGAAATAGTCAAAATTCAGGGAAGAAACAGTCAATAAGCAGGAGTCAGTTAGGAATTTGAGCTAAAGATGTGTGGACTAGAATTAACATTTTCAAACTTACGAATTAGGACAACCTAAATAGGGCAAGGAGGGAAGTCCTCCACAGCAGGATTGTTTGGGGACACCTGGACTGCTGCCTGCTCAGCAATAAATTATGCTTAGCTACTCAGCTGGCCTGCTTCCTTCCAGCTTTATCAGTGGGAGGAGACTCCACCCACATGCATAATTCATTCTCATATTCGTGACCAAGAGCTGTCTTAACATCCGTGGTTTTAAAAATGAACTTCGAATGGACTTGCCTATATTTCTGAAAGTCCCTTGAAAAACAAAAAAGGTAAATGACATAAAGAAGAGAAAAATTTGCTTCTCAAGCCCAGCTTTGACAATCTGGCTTTGTCTCTTTTGGTACAACAGCTAATTCATTAGAATGTGGGGATCCATTATTGAAGTGACACGAAAAAAATGCAACTCGGAGTTGTGACAAAGGAGGTTCCTACATTCAGTAGGAGGCCATTGTCAAGTCTAAGATTCTTTGAGAGAATCCTACTCCAAACCACCCCGAAAATCACAGATGTTTTGATTAAATCTATGTAGAAAGTGCCCCTTAACAAGAAAAACCAATTAATGTATATCTCACTTTAAGTTGTCTTGATTGTTTAAAATTTTTTTTTAATTTATGAAACATTGGTGCAGGTTCACATTCTTTATGTGCAATTCTGAAATCCAAAGAGCTATGGAAAATACACATACACACACACACACACACACACACACACACACACACACACAGAGGCACACATAGAGATAACTTCTTTGGCAGCAAAACTTGATCCAACCTGAAACCATATGGAGTCAAAACCTGACCAGAGCTAATATGAGGCTATAGATAGTCTTGATTTATCTCTCTTGTGTGATATTCCTAACATTTCCTATATAAATATTAATGTGTGGTGATCGTGGAATGCAAGCTGCCACCCCACTGGAATGTTATATTGTATATGGTCTGTGTACGTGCTTTGTTACATTTGGAAAATGCTATATTCTGAAACAAATTCAGACCCTGGAAAAGGGACAGTGGACCTTGACCTAGAACTATACTTACATCCGAGAACCCATCTTATATGTTTGCTGTATCTTAATAGGCTTTTTGAAAATATGATTTTGAATCTTAAGGATATAAATTGACCCACGGTGATATCTAAAACTAGATAAAATCAAGAAATTCTTCTGCTTCATTGGACTTCTCAGTTTCTGATGTGTGTGGTTTGTTTGGCCCTTTACTTCCCATTGTTCATGTGACTTAGTGCCGCTCGATCTTCTGCTGATTCAAACATGGATGATATTTGTAAGCTGCTCCGAAGTACAGGTTATTCCAGCCAACCAGGAGCCAAAAGACCACCCAACTATCCTGAGAGCTATTTCCAGAGAGTGCCTATCAATGCATCCTTCATCAGTATGGTCATTGGTCGACTAAGATCTGACGATATTTACAACCAGGTGGGAATTGAGTCCGTTAAGATCTTAGTCATTTAAAAGCCTCATTTCACTTTCCTCCTCAGTTCCTCCTGCCCTTCCTGCTTCCTCAAAAGAGTAAAAGCAGCTAAAAATTATTTAAGACCTTTGAGCTATGCTGTGGGATGGGAGAGGAAAGAGGGATATTGATTTAGACAGAATTAGGGGTTTCTGGGAAGAGATTGGATTTGAGCTCTATTTGGAAAGTAGTTACTGAGTGGATGTTATGCGCCTGTGCACGTGCTGGAGGGAGGCGTGGCCCCTGTGTACAGTGATTTCGTAGCTGAGGAAAAAAGACAGACAACTAAAGAAATTACAGGAAAGCACACGTGTCAGAGAACAGGTGGCAAAGGGGATGTGAGAGCAGTCCAGGCAGAGGAGGCAGAATGAGCAGGACTGGAAACCCTGCCTGCCCTGGCCAGTGTAGCCAAGTGGTTAGAGCAACAGCCAGTGCACCACTGTTGTCCGTCTGCCCTGCCCTTCCCTGTCCCTGACTAATAGAAGTGGGGCAGTCACTTGACCCAAGATGGGTCAGATTCCATCTCCAGGTAATTTGGAATTGGGCCTGAAAAACAGTTTGGGGGCATGGATTTACTCCCAACATGCAAAACTTGGACTCTGAAGCAGCCTCATTCTGCCACGTTATGGAAAACCTGGAGAGAGAGAAACATTGGGCAAACACATCAAAAGGAGAAACAGTAAGGGCTTTGTGTTCACAGCTCTAGGCCCTTCCAGAGAGCTGCCAGGTTCCATGAGGCATCACTCTGCTGTCCTTGTAACCATCCCTCCCTCCCGTCCTTGCGGTGACGTGTACTGTGAGCAGCCAGGATTCCTCGAGCGGGAGGGGATGGGCTGGGACACACCAGCATTGGGAAGCTGGCAGGAGAACCCCCCACAAAGCAGATTAGCAGAGTGGTGCCTGGGAAACCAGTGGAGAGAATGTCATTCCTGAGAGAACCTACGTGAGAGTGCTAGAAGAGGCAGTGAACTGGGTGATTGTGAGCTCATGAGTGACCTTGGGAAACCCCGTTGAGAGGACGGTGGAAGACAGATTTCAATGAGTTGATGAGCAAACAGGAAGTGAGAAAATAGCAATAGAGAGTGTGGATTCTGTCAGTTCTAAGAGTTTAATGGGAAAGACACAAAATGGACAACTGGTGGGAGACCTGGGGTCACAACTCTCTCTTTGTAAGGAAAAGGCTTAGAATTGCAGCCAGGTTGCGGGCTGGAAGGAAGAGCATCAGATCGTGTGGTCGGGATAAGAAGGAAGGCCCTGGCTGGCAGTGCCAGGAGAATTGCTTCCAGAGTCCAGATGCTCTAAAGATTTTTAGAGACCGGTCTTCCCTATAATGCAGTCATATATGTGGCGCATGTAAGTTCGGTTGTTACCAGCGGCTGCCTCTTCTGAGTCTCGTCTCTGTTTGCAGGTCTCAGCGTACCCGTTGCCGGAGCACCGCAGCACGGCCCTGGCAACTCAGGCCGCCATGCTGTACGTCATCCTCTACTTTGACCCTTCCATTCTCCATACCCATCAAGCAAAAATGCGAGAGATAGTGGATAAATACTTTCCAGATAATTGGGTAAGTATTGCTATTAGTTTTTTTTGCTCTATAAGAAGCTTGTTAAAGGACTGGTTTTTCCATTCTCTTGGCCTATTACCCAGAGGTCATAATGTTGTAAATAGTGAGACATAAAAATCACTTAAGTAAAATTACTTTAAGTGTGTTGAGAATTTTATAAATCATAACATGAAGGAATAGATCAGCCAGTAAAATTTCCTGAACCTATTCCTTTTTTTCTCAAATGGGCTCTCTCAAGGTAAAACCATGTATTTTAACGTGTCTTGCTTTTTAGCTACAGAGATTGCAGCTAAGTTACAGAAGCCTTTATTCTTATTTTATGAACTTAAGCTAGCAGAATTGTTCTAATTTGTCATTTTATGAATAGAATTTCACTTTTATAATGGGTTTTCTCTATACGCTCACACTGATGGGGCTGTGAAGATTTAGCTTACTGCAGGGATTTGCTTATTACTTTTTAATGTTACAATAGTAATTCTTAAGAGGATAACACTGGCTTAACATACTTAATCTATGTGAAATGTTTTCTTTGCTCATGAGGCTTTCACAAGGAACAATAAGTTGGATCATGTTCTCAGGCAGCGGAATTCTTGCTGTCTGTTGAGTCTCAAACTAACTGTGATGAGGCCCCGAATGTGGACTTTACTGGTGGGCAGAACAGACTGCAATTAGGAGACGGTGCCCTTGCCCACCAATGGCGTTCTCACACGCTAGGGTTGAGCTACCAAGAAGAACACGCTGATAGTCTGGCTCCCTTTGCCTGAGCTTCATAAAGAAGTGTTGGCCGTAATGCTATCCTCAGAAACACTCTTAGTACAAAGGAAAGTCAGATCCACCTGGCGCACTGAAAATAAAGGAATAAAAAAAGATATGCCAGGCAAATGCCAACCAATAAAAAGCCAGTGAGAAAATATTAATATGACATCAAGAGAATTTTAAAGAAAAACACTAATAGGGATAAAGAGGCATTGTATGTAATAGTTTCAAAAATAAATGTAAAACAATGCCATTCTCACAGTTTTTTGGAGGGAAAACTTTAATTTGATTATTTTAATACAAAAAGTATGCTAACATGTAATGGGTTTATTTTAAATGAAAGTTCTCAGTTTGAATGTGTAATATGATAAATATCAATAGATATAATCCACGTTTTTCAAAAACATTCTTTGGGGTGTCCTCAGTGACTTTTAAGAGTATAAATAAAGACTGAGATGAAAATGTTTGAGAACACTGTCTAGTCAGTCTCTGCGTCTCTTTCCCCTTTCATTTTCCTTCACCAAGGAATCTAACAGACAGCACTTTGAAAGGAAGATCTCCTTTTACTTATTGTTCACGAACAGCAACATTCTCACTTTTGTTCCAGAGTGCTCCTAAGTAAGAACACTCCCCTGTGTGTCTGGAACATCTTACTTTCTCATTGACTTCCATTGAAATGGAATATAAAATGGGAGTGGGCAGTGTCTCCTCTTAACCTTAACCGTGTCTTTTCCCAGCCCCTTGCCTTGATGTGTGTGGGATGGGTGGGTATTTAACAAATGCTGAGTGAATGTCTCCTCTTTCAGGTAATTAGCATTTACATGGGGATCACAGTTAATCTAGCAGATGCTTGGGAACCTTACAAAGCTGCAAAAACTGCTTTAAACAATACCCTGGACCTTGCAAATGTCAGAGAACAAGTAAGTTCTGGTCAGTCAGGGAGGATTCTCAAACAACTTCCAGGCTGCATTAATAGGGCAGGAAATGAGCCACATAGATTTCACAAGGAATTTGGAAGACATCTACAAAAACATGAATGCAATGATTAATGAAAGCTGATTTTTGCAGAATAAGATCGATTAATTGTAGATTTTTTAACTTGTATCTTACACATAAATGGGAGACTTGGGTCCTAAGGAGGATTCAGCAACCTAAGATGAACCAGCGTGATATGTGGTTCCCACTGACTTTGTTTATTCTTGCGTAAAGATTGCGGCCTTATGTTCTGGTTACTTTTACTAGTAACCAGAATTTTAATATTGTCGTCAACAAGATGGGTGTTGAAGACAGTAACTGAATGTATACATAAGCCCTGTCACTGTACTTTAAATTCATCATTTCTGATGTGCAAGATAAACAACAAGACTAAAGGCATTCTTCTCCTTAAAGGTTAAATGGCTATATTGTGTCTCTTTAATAAAGAGTACAAAGTATCCCTGGCTGGTAAGGCTCAATTCTTTGGAGAGTTGTTCCCTAAACCAAAAGGTTGCAGGTTCAATCCCTGGTCAGAGTACTTATGGGAGGCAACAAAGGAATAAAAATAAAATCATTTATTGGGGAACATACTTGGTATTTCTGAACATCTTTCTCAGCCTACCTGTGTGGGAATAATATTGATTTCCAGTGTGGGAGTAATATTGATTCAAAGACCTCGCCTGTTTTATTCTGATGCACTGCAATCCATAAATAATGCACATAATAATTTCAATTCTGGAATGTCTCCTAGAAATATATTAGAGAAAGTGGTGCTTTCATACTTACCAGCATCAGAGCATTAATTTTTCATTACTGAAATCTCTTCCAAAATTGCATTTTCTCTTTTGTAACATTGTAAGAAATTCTTCAGAGTCTCCTGATGAAACATCTAGTGATAGTTTTAAACTAATCTGACTAGGTTAATGATGTTTAACATTAAGTCTTGCTGACGGCAAATCAAATTTACCAAAAGTCTGCAAATTCAGTTTGGATGCACTGGGGTGTGTTTGTGTGTGTGTGTGTGTGTGTGTGTGTGTTTTAATATATATTTTATTGATTTTTTACAGAGAGGAAGGGAGAGAGAGAGAGAGCTAGAAACGTCGATAAGAGAGGAACATCGACTAGCTGCCTCTTGCACACCCCTTACCGGGGATGTGCCCGCAACCAAGGTACATGCCCCTGACCGGAATCGAACCTGGGACCTTCCAGCCTGCAGACCAACGCTCTACCACTAAGCCAAACCGGTTTTGGCTGGGGTGTGTTTTTTTGTTAAGCTTTCATCTGTCTGTAGAAGTCTCATCATCTGAGTATTTGTACTCTGCTCTGACTTCTTTATTGATAGTAATGGGAAGAACAGATAATTTAGCTTCTATCCTTATGTTTCTTTTCCACACAAGAATAGGAGGGAACCACCACCTGGTCCAGTTTACATTTGGAGAAACCAATAACGCAGAGATTAAACCCAAAGTCACACCAATATTTAATCCCAGCCTGGACTAGATTTTAGTCTCTTAATCCTAAATCCAGTACTCTTTTTAAAAATATATATCTTTATTGATCTTAGAGAAGAAGGGAGAGGGAGAGAGAATGATAAGAGATAATCATTGATCAGCTGTCTCCTACATGTCCCACACTGGTGATCGAGGCTGCAACCCCGGTATATGCCCTGACCAGGAATCGAACCAAGATCTCCTAGTTCATAGGCCGACACTCAACCAATGAGCCACACTGGCCAGGCAGTCTAATATTCTTTTTATTTATTTTTTTATTCATTTTTTATTAAGGTATTATATGTGTACATATCTTACCATTGCCCCCCCACCACTCCACTAATACTCTTTTTAAAAATGTCTAGGCCGAAACCGGTTTGGCTCAGTGGATAGAGTGTCGGCCTGCGGACTGAAAGGTCCCGGGTTCGATTCCGGTTAAGGGCATGTACCTTGGTTGCGGGCACATCCCCAGTGTGGGGGGTGCAAAAGGCAGCTAGTCGATGTTTCTCTCTCATCGACGTTTCTAACTCTCTATCCCTCTCAATTCTTCTCTGTGTAAAATCAGTAAAATATATTTTAAATAAATAAATAAATAATAAAAATGTCTAGTAAACCCCCTTAGAGCCTTATCCACTACAGTCCATATGTTAGGCATCTCATATAGAAATGTCATTATCCATCCAGGGATTCATTTCAGTGTGATTCTCTTTTTAAATGTAACTCACGTTTTTATTTGCGAAGGCAAGCAGATATGCTACTGTTAGTGAAAGAGTGCACGGTCAAGTGCATCAGTTTCTGAAAGAAGGTTACTTAAGGGAGGAGATGGTCCTGGACAACATTCCAAGGCTCCTGAACTGCCTGCGAGACTGCAACGTGGCCATCCGATGGCTCATGCTCCACACGGCAGACTCAGGTAAGGCACAAGAAGGCGTTCAGAGCTAAGATCTGCTTCATGATGCAAAATGGTTTAGCTCTTGAGTTAGAATCAAGTTGCTTTCTGAGTTAGTCATTCTGTGCCTAACTCAAGTCAGTGCCCACCTGAACAACCCCTTCGTCGGGTACTGCTAGGTGTTTGGAATCTGAAGAAATTTATCTCCCTTGTTCCAGGATCTTGTCACTGATCAAACTGGGAAGATCAGATGTAAACATATGAAAAATATATCTATAAATCTGTGGTGGGCAGAGTAATGTCTCCCTACTCCCTCCCAAAGATGTTCTGGCCTAATCCTTGGAACCTGTAGGTGTCTAATATTATGTGGCAAAGGGCGGTGTAGGAGGGCTAAGGTTACAGATGGAATTATGCTTCTAATCAGTTGATCTTAAAGTGAGAAGGTTATCCCAGTAGGTCCAGTGCAGTCACAGAGGTCCTTAGTCAGGAAAAGGGAAGCGGAGAGTCAGGACTAGAAAGATGGCATCATGAAAAAGAGGTTTTCCCTAGAGCCTTCAGAAGGAGCACAGCCCACTGACATCTTATTTTTCGGCCAGTGAGACCCATTTCGGATTTCTCACCTCTGGAACTATCCCATATAATAAAAAGCCTAATATACAAATCGACCAAACTATAGAACCACCAGTCGCTTTGATGCGCACTGACCACCAGGGGCAGACCCTCAACACAGGAGCTGCCCCCAGCCCACAGGGCCCAGGCCAGCCAAGGCGGGTGCCAGCAGGGGGCCCCCAAACACCCCTTTGGTCACCCCACAGATCAGCCCTGATCACCGGCCAGGCCTAGGGACCCTACCAGTGCACGAATTTTGTGCACTGGGCTTCTAGTAAAGGAATAAACTTGTGTCTTTTTAAGCCACTAAGCTTGTGGTAATTTGTTATAGCAGCACTAGGAAAGTAACGCAAGGGCTGGCCCAGTGACTAAGAGCCAGACGGGTGGTGGGATTTGAGTCCAGAACAAAAGAGAAACATTGCTTGGGATGGAGAAGTGGAGGTGGTCAGGGAAGGCTACACTCAGGAGTCAGGAGCTGACTGGCCTTTGATAAGTTTCAAAGTGAAAAAGAAAAGAGCCGGGACCGGTTTGGCTCAATGGATAGAGCGTCAGCATGGGGACTGAAGGGTCCTGGGTTCGATTCCGGTCAAGGGCATGTACCTTGGTTGCGGGCACATCCCCAGTAGAGGGTGTGCAAGAGGCGGCTGATCGATGACTCTCATCGATCTTTCTCTCCATCTCTCTCCCTTCCTCTCTGTACAAAATCAATAAAATATATTTTTTTTAAAAAGGGGGGGAAAGAAAAGAAAAATTCTAGACTGGAGAAATGATAGAATAAAAAGTATGGTTTGGGAAGAATAGAAAAGCATGGGGCCACTGAGTTGAGAAACTGTCTAGACAAGAGCACTCAACCTTTGGGTCTTGGTCAAAGTCCTCTCTGAAACCCTATTGGCCATCAAGGTCAGAGCATCACAGTTTGTGTGAAGCCCTGGTTCAATGGTAGAATGTCCCTCTAGCTGCCATCTGTTTCCACTTCCTGTGAGTGGTCAGTAGTTGGACTTCCTCATCCTTCATGTCTTTGAAAATATGTGACATTTCTCCTCAGCCTCTGTCTTCCCACTAGAAGTCTCCAGCTTCTTTTTAAAAAATATATACTTTATTGATTTTTTTACAGAGAGGAATAGAGAGATAGAAACATCGGTGAAAGAGAAACCGAGCTGCCTCCTGTACACTCCCTCCTGGGTATGTGCCCGCAACCAAGATACATGCCCTTGACCAGAATCGAACCTGGGACCCTTGAATTGGCAGGCCGACACTCTATCCACTGAGCCAAATCAGTTAGGGCAAGTCTACAGCTTCTTAAGCCTTTCTCACTAGAGCTACTTTCCAGCTGTTTTTACTTTTTCCATCATTTTGCTTCTTGGCCCAGATCTCTCTTCGGTTTATAGCTTTCTCACAGCGTGAATATGATAGCTAAAGTTTTTAATCATGTAATAAATCTGTTTGGTTTTTTGGTTTTTCTTTGATTAATTCTCACCGAGGATATTTTTTCCATTGAATTTTAGAGAGAGTGGAGGGAGGGGAAGAGATAGAAAGAGAAACATTGATGTGAGAGAGACACATCTATTGGTTGCCTCCTGCACAGGCATGGCTGGGGCAGGAATAGAGCCTGCAGTCAAGATACGTGCCCTTGACCAGAATTGGACCCGAAACCCTTCAGTCTTTGGGCCAATGCTCTAACTACTGAGCAAACGGCTAGGGCAGATCTGTTTTTTAATTAGTTGAGTTTGTCTTACATAAACTCTAGTTCTAATTTGAGGATTTTACTACATCAACTCAGCTTATAATCTCCTTTACCAAAGCTTTACCTTCTCAAGCCTATAAGCAACTCAGTCCTCACTTGATCCTCTCCAGCTGTGGTTTTCTAGTGACTCAGACTCATCTCCCTGTTCCTGACATTGTGCCTACACTCTGGGAGCCAGTCGTTCCCTGGGCTTGCATCCTGCCCGGGACCACCGCAGCCGGCCAGGGCCCTCTGCTTTTATCTTCAGCCACATCTGTTTTCCATTTCTGTGCCTGGAAACTGTCTGACCTGATTGCATAAGGTCATAATTTACCAGAAACAGATGATCCGCCTATCTGGTTGTGAGTCATATGTGGGAAGAGTAACTGCTTATTTCGCTTTTGTGGTGTTTCAATCATATGTGCAGAAGGGAAGCGTGGTCTTCATCTGCCTCCAATTAACCGGCTGGAAGCATTCGCCAGGCTCAGGACTGCCTGCAGCTGCTGGAGAAACATTGTCGGAGGCTCTGCCTGTCCCTATTGGACACTCGATAATAAATCAACCCCCACGTGCTTACAAAATCTGGAAATATATTCTGTAGCTTGTTCTTTTCATTCACCAATATATCATGGATGACATTCCACTAACAGTTTAGTTATACTTTCTCCCATAGCATGCATGTACTTAAAATTAATTTTATCATGTTGTTGATACACGTTTTGCTGATTACCTTTTAAAGACTTCAAATGAAGGGCAGTATTTAAGAATTCATATTCCATAGATAGTCTCTACACATTTAATAAATGGAAACTCTTTTTTCTATTCTAGCCTGTGACCCAAACAACAAACGCCTTCGCCAGATCAAGGACCAGATCCTAACAGACTCGAGGTACAATCCCAAGATCCTCTTCCAGTTTCTGTTGGATACTGCACAATTTGAGTTCATACTCAAAGAGGTAAAAAATATTGAATGGATAATCACCAAAATCTTAGTTTTTTTTATGGTTAGTTTTTATTTGGAAAGATTGGGATTTAGCAGCAGTATCTGTGACTCAAGCTACAGAATCTCGCTGTCTGAGATAATTCTCATGGAAAAGGACAGAATTAATCACTGAACAAGCATTTGGTGCCAGCTGTCATTGGAGCCACTGTGAAGGGGGAAAGTGCACAGGATTGTGGAGGTTACAGTCTAGTGAGGGGTATGGACGTGACCCAGAGACTCCCCCAATGGAGATGCGAATACACACTGAGATGCATGTTCTGAAGGAAAGGAACACATCCTCTGGGAACCTCATGTAAAGGCTCCTGTCGTCGCCCTGACGACTTCCCTGAGAAGAGGAGCTTCTGACGGGGCCTGAAGAAGGGACCTGTCAGACTTAGCTAAGACAGTGATAGCGAACCTGGAGAACATTCCAAAGAGACGACAGACTGTCCCAGGCCCCTGGGCAAGGAACAGCCTAGCCAGCTCAAAACCGAAAAGATCAGTTGACTGGAGGGGAGAGAATGCAAGTCAAAGGAGGTACAGAATGAGTCTTCATGTAAAAGCCATGATAGGCTGTTGCAAAGGGCCAAGTGGGTAGATGATTTGCATTTGAACAAAGTCCTCTCTTAAGGAGTTTGAGTTCACTGAAATTCTGGGCTTCTTCTTATCCCTAAAGAAGCTTCTCTGGGCATGATAAAAGTGGCAGCTTGCCGTAGCCGATTTGGCTCAATGCATCAACCCCTGGAGTAAAGGGCACTGGGTTCAATTCCAGTCAAGGGCACGTACGTTAGTTGCAGGCTCAAACCCTGTACTTAGGTCCCTGGTCGGGACATGTGTAGGAGGCAACCAATCGTGTCTCTCACATCCATGTTTTTCTCGGTTTTCTCTCTCTGTTTCTCCCTCTCCCTTCCATTCTCAAAAAAAAAAAAAAAAAAAAAAAAAAAAATCAATGGAAAAATATCTTCAGGTGAGGATTAACAACAACCAATTGCAGATACCTGGGAATGGCCAGGTAGGTGAGCCCAGGAACTGGCCCGGGACAGTAATGCCCGTTCAGAACCAATATTTAACCTGGCCTCAGTCTGGTGAGGAGTAGACTGGATGTTTCTTTAGCTGCTAGGTCTGAGGAGGCACTCAGAAAAAGGAGATGTTGATGACTAACCTAATATTAATGCGTGTGCTGTGTGATTTCAGTGACTAGTCTCCATATAACTTTGTAAGATCAGGGAAATGCCACAAAAGTACAGGGGTTTATTGCCCTGGGTTCTTAACTAGGAAAATGCACATGAATACTGGTTTTCCTCTTAAGAAATTCTTTATTTTTTCACAGTGAATATTGAAAAGATAGCAATAGAATGGGGAAACTCCACCTGCAGATGGAAGCTTGGTGGAATTTTGTGGGGCCAGTGGCAGAGGAATCTTAGAGATAGGGCAGGACGAGAGATCAATGAAATAAGTAATAGGATGAGGAACAGTGAGAATTATTTACAGAGTTCCCCCTCTTTTTGAGTGCCTAGGATCCATCAAATACCATTTGGCTAGCAATGGCAACAACACTATCAACCTGAGGCCTTCATTACAGACCAAGTGGCTTTGAGCCCTTCGAATACTCATTCACAGGTTGAACCCACAGGTTCATAAATTATAGTGGGATTTGGAGTAGGGGATGGGGCTCAAATTAGGAGATGCACCTTCATGTAAAGATCGGAAGCAGCATAGTTGCAATTAGTGGGTTTATAGGAGAATCAGAAACTGATGCACAAAAAAGGGTTAGGGTAGGAGGTAGGAGAGATAGATGAACAACCAAACTGAACCATCAGAAAGTCATATTATCATTGTTTTTCTTTATTTGTATTGAGCATCATAGAAATTGTTGCCTCAAAAGGACCATAGAGCAATAGTCACCAAATTTCATTTCCTGTTATAATACAATGCTGATTCCTGGGTGTACCCAAGACCTTGAACCAGAATCTTCAGGGGTGGAGTTCAGGAATGTGGAACTATGAAAGCCCTCCAGGGCGTACTTTTGTGCAGTTGATCTGAAAAACGCTGAGTTAGGGAGGGGCCGGCTTTGCCCTCCCAGTTGTATAAGAAGTCAGGCTTAAGAGATGTCAGCAGGGCCGAAACCGGTTTGGCTCAGTGGTAGATTCTCTGTCTGTGAACTGAAAGGTCCCACAAGTTCGATTCCGGTCAAGGGCATGTACATTGGTTGCGGGCACATCCCTGGTAGGGGGCACATCCCCGGTAGGTCGATGCTTCTCTCTCATCGACGTTTCTAGCTCTCTCTCTCCCTTCCTCTCTGTAAAAAAATCAATAAAATATATAAAAAAATATATTTAAAAAAAATATGTCAGCAGGGTAATGTGAATATTAGACAATATATTTTTCTAATATACTGGGTATTATCCAGGCTTTCTTAGCAAATGGCCTACTCTGTATTTTCTCTTAAGAAAATGAATCTCTTCTGTCCCTTCCACAGATGTTCAAGCAAATGCTTTCCGAAAAGCAAGCCAAGTGGGAGCATTACAAGAAGGAGGGCTCAGAGCGGATGACGGAGCTTGCTGACGTCTTCTCGGGCGTGAAGCCCCTAACCAGAGTGGAAAAAAATGGTAATTGCTGAGGAACAAATGGGCAGAGACAAAAGTCCTTAGTTGTCATCCATTGTGGGCTAGGACATTGCTAATGAAGATCCCCAGGCAATCTCCATACCCTGTATGCTTTCTTATCTTTGAAGAATGGGATTAAACTAAGTCAAGGGTTCTTACTCTCTGGTTCATAGCCTTTATAGAATCACTAGAGGCCCAGTGCACAAATTTGTGTACAGGTGGGGTCCCTTGGAGTGGCCTGCAGGGATCGGACCCAACTCACATCCCCAGCCTTGCAGTCCCACAGCCCCACCTGACACTCTCCTGAAGCCTGGTACTGCCCCCTCACCTGCTCCACCATCCCATCGCAGTCCTGTTCTCATCAGGGCCCATTGGGGCCAACAGCACCTCCACAGCGGCCTGCTGCCAGTGCCAAGGCCCACCATGTTCTGCACCGCCCCCTGGTGGTCACTGCATGTCATAGCTAGCAGTCAAACTTCCGGTTGAACAATTTGAATATTAGGCTTTTATTATATAGGATAATCCATCCCGAGACACCCACTGTAGTATGCAATACTAGTGTGTCAGTTTATGTGTGTTTGGGAGGGGAGAGGAAAAGAACCCGTAACTGTCATAATCTTCTCAGATGGATACTTCGCCCAAAGCATTAATAACTACTAACATAGATGATAAGGAAGATTCTCATCTTCTGATCTTGTTTGGTTCTTTTTCACTGTTATGCCTGCCATCTAGTGGCAGAAGAAGGAGCCTGTAGAGTGTTTTAAAACTAAACATAACTTAAGTATAACTTTGATTTTAATCCTGCTTCATTTAAGAAATTTCATCTATAGGAAAATTGTGGTATTACTTCAGTTCTTACATAACTAGGAACCTTTCAAATTGCCCCTGAAAGGCCACTCTGAATTTTAAAATGACAAATTACACGTTTTTTTTAATGCTTAATGTTTGTTTTAACTACCAAATCCATTTCAATAGTTATACAGTGAGATTACTTAATAGTATAGCTTTTTATTTTTAAAAAAAACTTTTCTATTTTTAATCAGAATGAGCTTGTGATTACTATATTTGACTTTTGCAGATTTATCTGATGCCGAATGGTTGTCTAAAATACTAGCATATTTCCAAATGACATCATTATTGCTATTGGAAAAAGTCGGCCAGTTTTTAATGATGTGATTTAAGTTGACAACAGGTTTTGCAGGTCACCCTCTTATGACTGAGAAACAAAGAGCCACTGTAACAGTCTAACCAGATTAGTTACCTGGCCTGGCACACTCCTGCCTGTCCCAATCTCTTCCAGTCCTCATAAATACCAGCCTTGTTTCAGACACCGAGCAGAACAATGTCTTGTGCTCTTTCTGGCTACATGGCCTATTTCAGCTGAGGACCTGCTTTCACAAATATTTCTCATTTGACCCTGGCAATCCTGTGAGATTAAACATTTTTATCCTTACTTTATATGTAATGAAACGAAAGCTTTAAAATGTGGTCACTTCCTAAGGTAAGAAAGGTCTGGAGCAGTGGTTCTCAACCTTTCTAATGCAGCGACCCTTTAATACAGTTCCTCAAGTTGTGGTGACCCCCAACCATAAAATTATTTTCATTGCTACTTCATAATTTTGCTACTGTTAGTGAATTGTAATGTAAATACCTGTGTTTCCGATGGTCTTAGGCTGTACAGCACCGGTTCTCAACCTGTGGGTCGCAACCACTAGCAGGTTCGCCTAAGACCATCGGAAAACACAGATATTTTCTATTAATGATGCCCATTATTAATAGAAATCTTCGCAGAGAATTGTGAAGATTAAATAAGACCAGGTGTTGCCGGGACCGGTTTGGCTCAGTGGATAGAGCGTCGGCCTGCGGACTGAAAGGTCCCGGGTTCGATTCCGGGCAAGGGCATGTACCTTGGTTGCGGGCACATCCCCGGTCGGGGGTGTGCAGGAGGCAGCTGATTGATGATTCTCTCTCATCGATGTTTCTAGCTCTCTATCCCTCTCTCTTCCTCTCTGTGAAAAATCAATAAAATGTATTTTAAAAATAAATAAATAAATAAATAAATAGACCAGGTGTAGAGCTTTCCCCGACGCTCCGAGGTACTCGGAGCATGTTACTGCCCTTCTCTTCCTCTGCCCGGGGAAATGCCGGCTGGTTTGTGACTGCAAATAGTGCCCCCTCCTGACATGTCTTCTTTCTCCCCAAGCTGAGCCATGACCATGTTTGTCCCGAAGCCTCTGTTTCTCTTTGTCCCTTCCTCTAGGGATGAACCATCCTCTTCCTCTCTCTGCCTGTCCAGATCTGTACCTGTCCTCGCTTCTCCGGAGAATGCCCCGAAACCCCCGGTCCCATCCTTGAGTTCCCTCCCCACTCCTCCCCACCGCCCCTGCCACCTCTGCACGAGTCCCTTCACAGCCGTATTTGGGCCCAAACCTTTCCTGCCAGGGGTTACAGACGAAGCTACCCAGGTGCTGAGTTTCATCTTTTCTTCTAGGTCAGTGGTCGGCAAACTCATTAGTCCACAGAGCCAAATATCAACAGCACAACGATTGAAATTTCTTTTGAGAGCCACATTTTTTAAACTTAAACTTCTTCTAATGCTGCTTCTTCAAAATAGACTCGCCCAGGCAGTGGTATTTTGTGGAAGAGCCTTACCTAAGGGGCCAAACAGCCACATGTGGCTCGCAATCTACAGTTTGCCAACCACAGGTCTAGGTCATATGCCCCGGGCATTTTTGTAGTTTGAATAATTCCTGAGAGTAGTAGGCACATAGTAAGAACTAGATTTGTAAAGAATAACTTAATTTAATTCAAAGCCTTTCCTTCTTTCTGTATTAATAGAAAATCTTCAAGCTTGGTTCAGAGAGATCTCCAAACAAATACAGTCTTTAAATTATGATGACTCTACTGCTGCAGGCAGAAAAACTGTGCAACTGATACAAGCTTTGGAGGAGGTAAGGAAAGTCTTTTTTTTTTTTTTAATGCTCTTATTTCTATGAAATTAGCAACTTTTTAAAAATATTTTTTTATTGATTTCAGAGAGGAGGGTAGAGGGAGAGAGATAGAAACATCAATGATGAGATAGAATCATTCATTGATTGGCTGCCTCCTACACGCCCCACACTGGGGATCAAGCCTGCAATCCAAGCATATGCCCTGACCAGGAATTGAATCGTGACCTCCTGGTTCATAGGTCAGTGCTCAACCACTGAACCACACCAGCCAGGCAGGAAAATCTTTTTAAATGACAGTTCTTGGATCATGAATCGTATCTTTCACCCACCCACCATCTGCTCCTAGAAATGTATCTAAGAAAATATTTTATCAAAAGCAATACAAACTAATCTGCTCACAGTAATATCATATACAGTGTCATAAATTGAGGGAAATAATTAAGTGTCCTCAAAAAGAAAATGGTTTCTAAAATTACAATATTCATGAAACATGATGTCTCAGAAAAAATAATTATGAAAACAAGATAGAAACGTTGGAAAAATTGTGGTAAGGAAGTAAAAGAAAAAAGAAAATTGCATACATCATTTTTAAATTTATAAAAAGAATATGCCGTAAAAAAAATAGGAAGGCATCCAGGAAAGTGAAATAGTTGTAAGATAATCATATGTTTTAATAAAAGTTTATTTTTTTTATTTACTCAAAAATGATTGTACCAAAAAGAATTATTATACCATCGCAGTCTTAAAATGTTAAGTGTATATTTTAACTAGGTTTAAAATGGATACATTGTAAAACATCAGAGCAATAACTATAAACTCTTATTTTTAAAACATCGCCTATACTCTCTGTAACCCAATCCAATTGGACTAATTGGTGTAATTAAAAGATATAATTGATTTTTTTTTTTTTTTTTTTTTTTTGCTGACATTCTTATAGGCTTGTTAATTTTGCAAGGTTTTGAGGATGGTCACTATTAATGGCCACGAAGTATAATTGAGCATTGTTAGCGTGCCATGCCAGAACAGTTGCTCACTTGTACTGTTTTTATTTGGTGGTTTTGGATTTTCTAGTCTGTGATATAGCTATAAACAACTTTGTAAAACTCGGATGGCTTTTTATCTTTTGCGTTATTTATTCTGGCTTCTAGCCCAGACCCCTTGAATTATATACATTAAAATTCAGGACACGGTGGAATCATTATTTTGTTTTAAAGAGTACATCAAAGGAACTTAATAATGCCATATGCCAGCTCCTTGGTTGTGAAGGAACTAGCTTTGTTTTTTAGCAACCCTGCAAATCTTCAGAATTAAGAGGATTTCCAGTACGTGTTGATAGATTCCGACCTGGAAATGGGGAGCAGTCCCTCACTATAACAATCATACATTTACAGGATATGCAGTCCTGCTCAGTTTCTAATCCTAGAAAGTTGCGCATGGGTTTATGACTTGGCCTACACATTTCTGAAATTATAATTTGAAATTAAAAATTTGCCAAGGAATTCTTTGTTAGTAGTGTGCTTTATTTGAAGTGTTTTCAAGGAAAAGCAGGCTCCGTAGAGGCCATTCAGGACTTTAAAGTGACACATGTCTCTGTAACACAGGTTCAGGAATTTCACCAGTTGGAATCAAACCTGCAGGTGTGTCAGTTTCTGGCCGACACTCGCAAGTTCCTGCACCAAATGATCCGAACCATCAACATTAAGGAGGAGGTGCTGATCACCATGCACATCGTGGGGGACCTTTCTTTCGCTTGGCAGTTGATTGACAGGTACTGTGGAGAGTCTGGCATCTGCCCTTGGAGAAACCACTGTGAATGGCTTCTTACCATTTATCTCTCTTGACAGCTTCACGTCTATCATGCAAGAGAGCATAAGGGTGAACCCGTCCATGGTTACCAAGCTCAGAGCTACATTCCTAAAGGTAAGCGAAGACGTGCGATCGCATTCTCAGCCACAGGAGAGAGGTGGCCTTCATTGTTACCTCAGTCGTTAATCCAGCCCAACATGTCATCCTTTTAGAAAGCTGGATAATCCATAGACTGAAAATTGTTAGCAGCGTTTCTATGAGAGCATGATTTCAAAAGTGCCAGAAATGCTGCAAGTGTGAATTAATAAGTTGGAGCATCTTCCAGAAAACTATTTTTAAATGAAGTAATAGATTTTATGAAGTTTTACCAGTATACTAAAAATGTGAATCCTATGGGACTTTTATTCCCTGGATGTAAATTAAATCTTATTACTTATTCATTTTTTAAAGATTCTGCATGAGCCTTACTCGCAGGGTAATTTCAGATCATGATAAATGGACAAGTCATTTATGCAATGTCTTCTGACGGAATTACCATGTATATGAATTCTGAGGTGGACTTCCTTTCATATTTAACATCTCTGTCATTGGGGATGGGTTTTATCATCAATGGCACATGTAGTATAGTTGTCAATATGTTTTCTTTCTTTTTAATTTTTTTAAAATATATTTTATTGATTTTTTACAGAAAGGAAGGGAGAGGGACAGAGAGCCAGAAACGTCTATGAGAGAGAAACATCGACCAGCAGCCTCCCGCACATGCCCCTCCCGCAGCCAACGTACATGCCCCTGACCGGAATTGAACCCGGGACCCTTCAGTCCACAGACCGACGCTCTACCACTGAGCCAAACCGGTTTCGGCTCTTTTTAATTTTTTAAAACATTTTTTTATTTATTTCAGAGAGGAAGGGAGAGGGAGATAAAGAGTATCATTGATCAGCTGCCTCCTGCACTCCCCCCTCCCAGGGACTGAGCCAGCAACCCAAATTGAACCCTAGACCTTCCAGTGCCCTTGACCAGAACTGAACCCCGGACCTTCCAGTCCCCAGTCTAATATTCTATCCACTGAGCCAAATCAGCTATTTTTTTAAATTTTAATTTAATTTTTAAAAATATTGTTTTATTTTTTTTAAATCAGCACCAATGACAAGCTTGGATAAAGGAAGGGAGAGAGTGAGAGAGAGAGACATTGATGTAAGAGAAAAACATCAATAGAACCCACAACCCAGATGTGTGCCCTGACCGGGAACTGAGCTGGCAACCCTTCGGTGCACAGGATGAAGCCCAACCAATTGAGCCACTCGGCTGGTTTTGTTTCTGAGAGATACGTAAATAATGGCACACCTCACAGCATGACAGCTTTGATTGGACTCAGTACAGTGGTCCATCCTCCAGAATGTCTGGTTTCCAGAGGACCAGCTGTCCTCAGCACAGTGGCTCTCAAACGAGGGTGCATGAGCATCCCCAAGGGGTGGGGGTGACACACACAGAGTGCTGGGCCCCACCCCAGAGGTCTGAGTAAGGGAGCCTGGGTGGAGCAGAAGAACTGGCCTCTTTCCATACTCAAAACCTAAACCATGAAAGGTCAAAGATCTGTGTCACCCGCCATATCTTTGTTGGTGCTGCTGGTCCAGGGATCACAGTTTGAGAACCACTGCTGCAGCAGAAGACTCCCATTGTTTACACTGACATCCATGTCAGAAACTATTAATGACATTGAAAAGCTCAGCAGTTGTTGCTCTCTCTCTTGGGGAAAGCCCAAGAGCTTTGTTATGTGTTACGATCTCTGGAAAAAGAGGGACTTCTAGGACTTTTCCAAACAGGGACACAGCAGATCTATCGTTTTTCTTCCAGCTCGCCTCTGCCCTGGACCTGCCCCTTCTTCGCATTAATCAGGCAAATAGCCCCGACCTTCTCAGTGTATCTCAGTATTATTCAGGCGAACTGGTGTCCTATGTGAGAAAGGTAAGAAGTCATCAGAGTAGTATTTCTTTTCTTGGCAAAATAGCTGCTATTTTAAATTAAAAAAAAGTATGCCTGGGACCCTATAAAAAGCCCACCCATGTTTCTTTCCCTGGTTATTATTTTATTCCAGCAATTTGCAATGGCTGAGAATAAGTGTATGGTCACTGTGGGTATGCAGAAGTGTCTTTACTTTCAAAGAACTTCCACTCCCATTTTTAAAATTCGGGTGGTTTCAGCTTCCGTTTTATAGGCATAGAAACTGAGGAACAGACTATAGTGGCTTCAGAGTCACAGCACTGCTTGGTAAAGGAGCCAGATCTAGATCTAGCATGTCCTAGTCCGAACTGAACGTTTTCAGGGGACTTTGGTCCTTGTTTCTAGAACTTATGAGGCAGCACAGGCTGGATTCAAAATTGACCTGTGCCATATACCAGCTGAGTGGTCTCCTGCCATGTCACTTAGCATCTCAGAACCTCGGTCTTTTAAAAGCTTGTCATGGTGCAGCACAGGGAATATAGCTGGTAATGTTGCAATAGTTGTATGGTGCCAGGTGGGAACTAGAATTATCAGAGGGATTACTGCGTACGTTACTAGTATATAAATATCCAACATGCTGTACACCTGAAACTAATATAGTATTGAATGTCAGCTGTGATTGAAAAATTTAATTAATTAGTTAATTAAAGGTATCCAACAGCCTGTAAAAAATAAAATAAAAAATAAAAGTTGTTGATGCAGAAAAGCTACATTTTCTGTAGCATTTCTCTGAGGATTAGCTTTCTGTCCTGTGAGCAGTTCAGGATTGAAGGAGGGTAGCCCTGTGCCTGAGAGCAGGTATCGAAGAGCTTCTTTAAGCCCCTCAGCATCCCTCCCTGCAGACAGCTGGCTTTGACTCACTGGCACCCTTCCTCCTGTCATCGGAGCATTATCAGCTAACAAAAAGAAAAGGGGTGCTTCATTGTTTTTTGTCTCTTCCCTTTCCTTAAAGGTTTTGCAGATCATTCCAGAAAGCATGTTTACTTCGCTTCTAAAGATCATAAAGCTTCAGACCCATGATATCATCGAAGTGCCCACCCGCCTGGACAAGGACAAGCTGAGGGACTACGCTCAGCTGGGCCCACGATACGAGGTGGCTTGTCCCTTTGACTCATGCCTTTCGATACTTAAAACCTAAACCATGAAAGGTCAAAGGTCTGTGTCACCCGCCATATCCCCGGCACCACCAGGCCAATTCTGATTTGTTTGTTCCTACTCTCAGTGCTAACTCCATTTGCTATTGTAGTGCCGACATGCCTTCATTTCTTGCATTGTCCTGGTGTCTTTTGAAGCCTTGCCTGCCTGAGTATTCTCGGAGGAAGTGGGGGCCTGCTGGTCCCTTTTCTCTAGAGTAGTCCTGGTGAATCAGCCTTAGTCTCCTGGGCTAGGGTGCCAAGACTTGTCATGTTCGGATTCCTGCTTTTACATGCAACCAGTGGCTCGAAATAATCTATGGCCGATTAACCATTGCCTACAGCCAGACTCGGAGGTCCACTCAGTAGCTAAGCAGCCTCCGAGGTGATTATTCTCAAACACCTCTGCTTTTCTTTCTTCCTGACGTGAAGAGTGAAATCAAGTGAAAATTGAAACGTGCTGCCTGGGGTCCTCACGTTTCATCCCAATGTCAGTTTCACACCCTCTGACACAGCTCTGTAAATTTGGATGTCAAGCTTGGGGTTGCCACATCTATTCCAGCATAGTGTCTGTCTGCCCGATCAGTGTGTCCTGGTGTTGCTTGAAAACAATATCGACAGCAATAAGGGGAGATGTCTGCTTTCAGTCTTGACGAGACTTTTCTATTTGAAAGGGGCCATCCTTGTCATTGAGCCCTGCCCCCATTCTGTGTGTGAGAAACTGAGGTCCAAAGAAGGGAAAACAGTTGACCAAAGCTTGAAGAACTATTTAATGCCTTCAGGCTCAGTGTTCTAAAATGTCTCCGTGACACCCTGAAGCCTCATCCCTGCCCAGGACAGGTGCCCAGTGGGGTCCTAAAGCTTCACGCGCATTCCAGTTGTCTTTGCCCACCCCGGGACCCAGCCAATTACTTCACCTTCTCTACCAACAATGGCCTTTATGGGAACTGCTTCACTAACCACTCTGTCTTTGTTAAAGGTTGCCAAGCTGACTCACGCGATTTCCATTTTTACTGAAGGCATCTTAATGATGAAAACGACTTTGGTCGGCATCATCAAGGTAACGGCTTTGATGCTGGTCTGGGAGGCTCTTAGTCTGAATGAAGGTGGTATTTATCCCTCGGAAAACGGAATGACATCATCATCTTGTGTGTCTTCTGTTTCACATTCAGCTTCGGAGCTTTATATTACTCATGTATTGATGGAGGAAAAGAGAGCATTATAATCCTTATTTCTCGTAATACCCAAGAGTTACTTAAATCTAAGAAAAATCCACTTTATTAACTTTATAATAGAGAAAAATAGTTTCATGTCCTTAGACAAAACAGCTGGCTAGTCCTCTTTCTTTCTGCCGCCCCCTTTTCCTTTTTCGTATTTTTATGTTGCACCCAGGTGCAGAGAGCTGAGGTCATCTGACCTTATTGTCATTAGCAGGTCATTGTCAGCACTGATGCCTGTAAGCCGTTCTCTTATTTTCCTCTTTCTCTTTTCCTGGGGACCCACAGAGCCCCCCTTTATGTTTGGTATCTGTCCCTGAACATGCATGTGGTGTTATTTTATGTGTGCATGTGTTTTTCTATTTATCTAAATTACTGTGCTCTGTCTCTGATTCCTTCTCCAACTCTTCTCACTAGGTATTGCTTTTGAAATAAATTTCCATTGCTATGGGTCAGGTAGTTGGTTACTTCTAAACTGCTGCACTGATGTCACATTTTACGTAACCACTGCCCAAGGGACAGACACTTGTTGCCTCCCCTGTATCATCTTGGAGCATGTCCCCATTGCAGGCCTGTATAAGAGTTTCTGAAGTCTGCATACCCAGAGTGGGTCCCTGGGTCAGAGGGCATATTTATACGCAATTTGTCTCAACACTACCAGGTTGCCTTCTAAAATGACCATCTTCTTTGTATCTAGCCACATTTCCCCCAATACTTGTTGCTTTCCACTTTCTAATGTCTGCTCGTCCAAGGGGTATAAAATGGCATCTCACTGCTGTGCTAGTTTATCATCCTGTGACTAATGATGTTCAAGGTGTTTTCCTGTTTATCTGATAGCAGTAAAACCTGAACATTCCTGATTTTTAATAAAATGTAAAGATATCGAATACCCAGAGTAACATTCAGGTTAATAAAGTCCAAGAAAATAGAGGAAATGAACCTATCGATAATATGGAACTGTAGTGTATGATCTTTGGAAGTGCTTTAAAGAACTACCACGTACCCCTGGAGTATTAATAGACTCCGTTAAACATGCTTTAGTCCTGATGCCAGTTGAATTCAGTTGATATGGAGAAATTATACATGCAGCTTATCACTTCTGACTAATCCATAAAGTAGTGATAAATCCTAGGACCTGATTAAGTATCTTACATGTAAGGTGACCCGTACCAGAAGGAGGTAATAAAACCTAACATTTAGCAGTAATTATCAAGGCAAAGACTGCTTAAGGAAGGTGTAAGTCATTTCCCACACTTCCAGGTGATAAGAGCAGAGGGCATATCGTCCTAACCTCATGCCACCAGGAGAGGACTGTCTTTGCCAGTCTGAGAACCCAGGGCCCTTACCCATCTGGAACCTGCCCATGTTAAGGGTCTATTTCAGACACTTGTAAAAAGCTTAAGTTCACTTTAGTAATGATTTAAAGCAAGTGAGATGTACACAGAGATATGTGTACATTGTTAGAGTTAGTCCCCAAAATAGTAATAATCTAAGTAATGTTTAATGGTAAGGGATTGGCTGAACACATCCGGGTGTGCTCATGCTGTGGATGGCCCTGCTGCCGTCCACAATGAATTCGCCACTGGAAGATTTCCAGGAATTAAAGTGAAAACAGTGAATTGCTGTACTGTGTGTGTGTGTGTGTGTGTGTGTGTGTGTGTGCGCGCGTGTGTGTGTTTTATCCCATTTGGGTTTTTGAAATTAAATATGTATTTAAGGACAAATATTTATGTAAATAAATGAATAGAGAAAGTTCTGGAAGATCCATATGAAAATGGTTACGTGTTTCTAACTTTAGAAGAAAGGTTAGAAATGTGAGGAATGAGGTGTGTGAGGGAGGCTTTCTCTCTGCTGTGAACACTCCACAGATTAGTGACAATCTAGGGAGAACAGGTTCATTGGAGACCTTTAGATTCCTGAAAGCATTGAACTTCTTTTTATCACACCTGTTCTGATGAGGAATATTTCTTTGAGAACTTCTCATTACTTCTTTGATTTTACTCTCATTGATTATATTTATTTATAATTTACCTTTTTTTGATATTTCACCAACTTTGTTTTATTTTTTTAATTTCTTTATTGATTAAATTATTACATATGTGTCCTTATTCCCACATTACCCCTCCATCCCCCCCCCCACTCATGCCCTCATCCCCATTGTCTGTGTCCATTGGTTAGGCTTATATGCATGCATACAAGTCCTTTGGTTGATCTCTCCCTCTTACCCCCACCTTCCCCTACCTTCTCTCTGAGGTTTGACGGTCTGATTGATGTTTCTTTGTCTATGGATCTGTTTTTGTTCATTAGTTTATGTTGTTCATTATATTCCATAAATGACTGAGATCATGTGATATTTACCTTTCTATGGCTGGCTTATTTCACTTAGCATAATGCTCTCCAGGTCCATCCATGCTGTTGCAAATAGTAAGAACTCCTTTTTTACTGCAGCATAGTATTCCATTTTGTAGATTTACCACAGTTTTTTTAACCTATTTATCTACTGATGGGCACTTGGGCTGTTTCCAGATCTTAGCTATGATGAATTGTGCTGCTATGAACATAGGGGTGCATATATCCTTTCTAATTGGTGTTTCTAGTTTCTTGGGATATAAAGCATAAATATTAAAAGCTGCAGAAACAATTGTTTAGCTTAGTAGGTTATTATAAGGTAAATATTATTCGTTTTCACCAACACTCAAGACATATAATTTAGCCAGCTCCCACCCCATCCTCCTCCTAATGTGCTCTGACCTAATTTCAGTCTCTCTGTTTATTGTTTTATTATCCAAAAGTAAATCTCTCAATGCTGTAGTTTACATTTAAAATATATATATCGTGTCTTTTGCGTATCTTCTACTCTCCAGGTTTCTTCATTCTTTTTTCTATTGAAGAACCCAGGCCTTAACAGTAGTCTCTCCCAGTCTGGATTTTGCTGATTGCATAGCCATGCTGTTGTGCAACATATTTTTCTGGCTTTTGTAATTCTTCAGCTTTCATTGCATTTATCTTCCTTGAAGTTTAGACATAACCAAATGCAGATGGGACCCATCAATTACCTTTATGACGTTCTGAAATAATGCTTTTTTACAGATTAAAAAGAGAGATGGGTCTCACGGAATCCAAAGGATTTCATGTTTATGGATCTGATAGGAGACTGTCTTTGTGGGAATAACAAAAACTTTCTCATTATAGAAACAAAGAATCAGGAAAATAAGCTTAGGGAACAGATTTGCTTTCCTATTTTATCTCCCTAATTTCCAACACCATTCCCAGAGTGCTGAAAGGAGAGAGGATTGTTCCATCTGCAGAACATCCAACCCAAGCCTTGAGCTGCCCATATGGCTACGAAGGCTTTGAGGTAACATCAGAGAAAAAACGCACTGACTTCAATGGCAGCCCCGTTATTCTGTCCCCTCCTGGTGATAAGAAAAGGAAATTTAACTTGTAACGAAGTGATTAAAAGTGAGGGAGACCTGGGGGAAATAATAGATCAACCGAAGGACTTGTATACATGCATATAAGTATAACCAATGGACATAAAACTCTGGGGATGGAGGGTATGTATGGGAGGAAGGGAGGGAGGAAAAAAAATCAATAAAATATATTTAAAATAAATAAATAAATAAATTTTAAAAAGTGAGGCAACTTGAAACTTTCCATACCCACCCACCACCTTTAAAATGTCTTGTTGTAAAGTTATCATCATGAGTTTTCCTGAGATAAACCAGATCCTAAAGAGGGGCAGACCTGATAATTCTGTCCCCCGGAGCAAGGTCACAGAGGGACAGGAGGGAACGGGTCCCAGTCTTTTGGAAAAGAAGAGAAAGCGCTCCACGGCAGGTTCTTTCCTCTGGACTCCGGGCTGGCTTTTCCTCACTGCCCTTTATTGCTCTTTGGTTTGCACTCAGGTGGATCCCAAACAGTTGCTGGAAGACGGGATAAGGAAAGAGCTCGTTAAACGTGTTGCTTTTGCTCTTCATCGGGGATTGATCTTCAACCCTCGAGCCAAGGTACCAGATGACCACACTACCTCTGTCCTTTCTCTTGCTCCCCATTCAGTTTGGGGGGGAAATGGACTAGAGCCTCACTTTTAACTATTGTGAACAAGACCCTTCTTCCTAACAGATATCTGATAGCTGATTTTCAATACAAACAGTGGGTGTGCTTTCTGGTCATCTATTCATATTATGAAAAAATCCTTTCTAAAATTGGCACTGTTCTTTACCTGTTGATCCCCTAATATTTTTTTAATCCTCACCTGAGGATATGTTTTTATTGATTTTTGAAAGGAAGGGAGGGAGGGAGGGAGGGAGAGATAGAGAGAGAGAGAGAGAGAGAGAGAGAGAGAGAGAGAGAGAGAGAGAAGCCTTGATGTGAGAGGGATACATTGATCAGTTGCCTCCCCATACATACACCAATCAGGGATCGAACTATTTTGGTGTACGGGATGATGATCCAAACAGCCACCAGCCAGGGCTGATCCCTTAACTTAAGAATTGAACTGATGTTTGTAATTCAGAATTACTTCTTCTATTATATAATAGATACTGAACTTAATCATAAACCAGATAGGAAGTAAGTTTTTATTTTGTTCAGTGTATTAAGGAATATGGTCATTTTTCTCAGGAGAAAAAAGAAATAGGCCTAAAATTTATATATAGGGTGCATTTCACATCAGGAAATTCAACTTAAAATAGTTGAAGTGTTTTAAGATAGATATACTCATCAAATAATGTGCGAGAAATCAGCATTAAGTTTCTTATATTCTTTTGTATGAGGCTTTCTTCCAGGGTAAATGAAATCTATTCCTTGAATGTTGGACCTTGGTTACCTCTCATCCTAGATGGGTAGGAAATGTGTATTTCCAAGGCTGTCTTGAACTATGAGTGTGGTCTCGTAGGGGATCATTTAAAGTCCAGTGTGGATATTAGTGGTTGACAGTCTCCTGCAATATGATAGAATTTGTGTTTCCCTTTTGCACAGACAAGTGAGTTGATGCCCAAGCTGAAAGAGTTGGGAGCGACCATGGACGGATTTCACCGTTCTTTTGAATACATACAGGACTATGTCAACATTTATGCTCTGAAGATTTGGCAGGAAGAAGTATCTCGTATTATAAATTACAATGTCGAGCAGGAGTGTAATAACTTCTTAAGAACAAAGGTATTTAAATACATTTTGAAATTCTTGACTAGGTCTGTTATTTCTGACTTTTAAAATACATACCCTGGGCCTCAGAAATGCCAACAAGAAAGTGTGTTTAAACAGTGACTAACAATCAGTAAGCACTAGAAAGTCACAAATACCTTCAGAGTACCTTCAGGAGCTGTGAGGGTTTCAGAGTTTATATGATGCCTGACCTCTGGGAGTTCACTGTCCTATGGAGAAAACATGACTAAATGGCTGCAGAATGAATCCGTTAGTTGTCATTGTTATAACTCAAGTGATTGAGAATTCAGAAGACTTAGGGGTCAGTTGGTTTGATCAGAGTATACACCTAAAAGTGGAATTGCTGGGCCATATAGTAATTCCGTGTGTAGTTTATTGATGAACCAACAAGCTGTTTACCACAGTGCCTGCACCGTTTTTATTTTTACCAGCAATATCTGAGGGTTATAATTGCCTAATTCCTCCACATCCTTGCCAACGCTTGTTTTCCTTTTTAAAAAATATATATATATTAGACCCATCCTAATTGGTATGGAGTGGTATTTCATGTGGTTTTGATTTGCATTTTCCAAATGACTAATGATGTTGAGCATCTTTTCCTGTGGTTTTGTTGTTTGTTTGTTTTCATCATTTTTATGTCTTTCTTGAAGAAATGTCTACACAAGTCCTTTGCCTGTTTTTTAATTGGGTTGTTTGAGCACCAAATTCTTAAGTATCACAGCTGAGAAGTTAGATTTTAGTAGTTAACAAGGAGTTACTCTATTCGCTTTTAATTAGGGAATTGATGATTCATGCATTGAAACATTAAATATCTTCCATCCTTAGGACATTTTGGATTTTTGTATTACATTGACACATAGTAGGTCATGAGCCAAAAGCCACAAGTCCCTGTGTCTCTTCTTACTTATCCTCATTCATCTTACTTTCTCACAATTGTTACTTTTTAAATAAATGTTTATATGGCATTTTGGAATGACTATTCACACAGTCTTTGAAAGTAAGGAGCCCTCATTGTCACTCTTTATGCAACATTATCCTTATAAAACTATGTGGGGAAAGCATACCTAGGTTACCTGGTCAAAAATGTACCAGATATTTGTTGTTGTTGTTTTTCTAGATTCAAGACTGGCAAAGCATGTACCAGTCCACTCATATTCCAATACCAAAATTTACCCCTGTGGATGAGTCTGTGACGTTCATCGGTCGGCTCTGCAGAGAAATCTTACGGATCACAGACCCAAAGTAGGTGCATTTGAACTCCACTGGCCTTGACCAGACAAGCCAAGTCTACACATGTATTGCATATATTCAGGCCACAGCATTGCTTATTGAAATTCGATTTTTGAGACCACGTATCTTCCTCAGTCCAAAAAAACAGAGATCAAAACAACCCTAAGGTTTCTTTGGCCACCTAGGCTCCTCTCACTCACCATTTAACATTCTACTTGCTTGGACCAGCGAACATCCCAATATATAAAATTATTTTTTTTTAATATATTCTATTGATTTTTTACAGAGAGGAAGAGAGAGGGATAGAGAGTTAGAAACATCAATGAGAGAGAAACATCGATCGGCTGCCTCCTACACATCCCTACTGGGGATGTGCCCTCAACCTAGATACATGCCCTTGACTGGAATCGAACCTGGGACCCTTCAGTCCACAGGCTGATGCTCTATCCACTGAGCCATACTGTTTTGGCATCAAATTATTTTTTAAATTACAAATTGCTTATCTGTACCTAGTAGCTTTGGCGTACACACACACACACACACACACACACACACACACACGGTCTTGCACTTGTCGGTTCATATCCTGGCTTTTTAAGACGACCCCTTGTTTCTTAGCCTGCACTGAGGCAGCTTTGACAGCAAGAACTAAACCTTTTCCTGAGCAGTTATCTGGTGCTCTCTTCCCAGAACATGATCTGCGTTCTTTCACTTACTCGTTACAAGAGTCTTATGAGGTTGGCTCTGTTACTCTTTCCATTTCAAAAATGAAGTGACTGAGGCACAGAAAAGATAAGCACTTGCCCAGAATCCCAGAGTTAGTAAGTCGTGGACCCAGAATACACACCAGGAATCCAGCTCTTAAGTCCTGTGGCGTTCTAGGGCAGACCACATAGGACATAAGGTTGCATGCAGTGGTCACAGTTTATAGAGTCACAAAAACTTGGTCAAAATTTCCCTTGTCAGTACGTAAACTTCATCCAAAAACCGCATCAGAAATGTGTATTGTCTAAGAGTAATTGATCCACGCCTTCTGGAGCTCGTCCTTTCTTGGTGCCCAAGAATTGATCACGAAATCCTTTCTAGAAACTACCCCCTAAAGCCACACTAATAGCTACAGGGGGTCTAAGCAGGATAGGGGTTTTTGTGTCAGTGTTGACTTGGTCATCAGTGCTGGGAGCCTCCGTGAGTGATACAGAGTGCCAGCACTGGGTGATGGGGGGCGACCTTGAAGCCTGAAAGGTTTCCATATGCAGTTCTGGAACTCTCTCGCTTTTCTCATTGACTTCCAAAGTTACACACACACACACACACACACACACACACAGTGCTCTCGGCTCTTTCTACCTCCCAAGTTCCATTTCCATAAAGTTGCATTCTGGTTCTTAGAATTGGGCTTGTCATGTGTGGAGTGTGAAATTGCAGGGCTGGGAATCCATGCCAGCCCTGCCCGGTCAGACTCCCCAGGAGTGGGCCTGGCCACCTGCTGTAACATAGTCTACCAGTGATCCAAGGTCCCGACCCCACGGTTGGAGCCATTAAAATGGTGGTTGAGAGTGTGATGTTGGAATGGGGCCTCTCTGGGCCTCGGTTATCTCACCTATAAAGAAAGGGCCACTCCTACCGGAAGGAAGGAAAAGAGAGCTCCTGGCCTCGAAGGAAATACTGGCTGCGTATCGTCATGGTCACGCTCCTGAGTGAACGGCGTCATTGTTGCTACCAGAACTGGGAGAAAAGAGGAAGTGGCTTGTCATTGGACTCTCAGGTGTTACATAGGATTCCAAGTTTCTTTCTTACCAGAGTGGAGATAACGCATGACTTGTCCCCAGTTTCTGGGAATTTAAAGAAAGTCCCCACAAAGAGAGATGACTCAAGTCCTCCAGCCTGACACCCAGCCTAACCTTATCCTCTTGGCATGACTCCAAGCAACAGCCCAACCAGTGACATAGTGCAGAGCAGGAAAAGGGGGTGCAATGCAGCATGCTGCCTGGTCCTGCGGGCGTCACCGTGAAGGTGCATACACGGGGTGCCCAGAGGCAGAGGTTATTCAGCACAAGCCATGACCTTGCTGTTTTTCATGGCTTATGCCCCAAGCCATTGAGCCCTCCAACTCTTAAGGATGGCTGAGGAGTCTCTTAAGGATGAATCCTCAGCTGCCTCTGGGCTTTGGGTGTGTTTTGTGTTGTAGACTGACATGTCACATCGACCAGCTGAACACCTGGTATGATATGAAAACGCACCAAGAAGTGACCAGCAGCCGCCTCTTCTCAGAAATCCAGACCACGCTAGGCACCTTCGGGCTGAACGGGCTGGACAGGCTGCTGTGTTTTATGATCGTGAAGGAGCTCCAGGTGAGCTCTGGTCCTCCTGCGTGTTTTCTGCTGCGCTGGGCGTAATGGGAGTGGGCCACGGGACTTCTCTTCCATCCTTTCCCGTACTGACATGTAGATGAGACTCCGGTAGGTATGTAAGGACGAGAATGAACTAGAATTTTGCGGCCAGCATAGTATTTTTTTGAGCAGATGGTTTTTGTGAGTTCCATCTTGGGGAAAATAAAACTTTTTCTCATTGAAGCCAGCAACTAGCTTCTCCCAAAAGTGGGTGTTTCTGGTAGGAACCGGAAGTGGCTGCTTCCCGTGACCCCGGTTACAGCGTGCTGTGCCACAGGCCAGTCGGCTGCTGAACATTTCGTTAACTGGAGTGCTTGCTCCTCTTACTCATTATATTTGGTCCTTTGATTTTTGCCTTCTTGTTCTAGAATTTCCTCAGTATGTTTCAGAAAGTCATCATGAGAGACAAAACTGTTCAGGATACTTTGAAAACCCTCATGAACGCTGTCAGCCCCGTCAAAAGCATTGTGGGTAAGTGTTCTGAAACTAGCCTGAGTTCAGCTGACGCTGCAACCTTTCCACATTCACTAAATAGAAAATTATGTTTTAACCTTTCAGCAAATTCGAATAAAATTTATTTTTCCGCCATTGCCAAAACACAGAAGATTTGGACAGCTTACCTGGAGGCAATAATGAAGGTATGTTGTGGAAGAAAGGGTGATAATGCTGTGTTTTTTTTTAATAATTAATTTCTTATCATTTTGTTGCTCAAAGAAAGCCACTCTTTTTTGTCATTAAAACAAAAATACTTCAGTTTGTCTTTATTTCTGTAATTTATTTGTCTCTTTACCTTCCTCTCTTAGAGCTGTTCTTGACTGTGCTTTTCATTGTCCTGTGGTTTTCTTTTTGCTCAAGGAATCTGTTTCTATCTGAAATGCCTTTTGGCAAGAAGTGCTTTCACACAGGAAACAGAAAATTAATAATCCATCTCACAAAAAAGTCCATCCGTGACTTCTCTGTCCGGTTACAGATCGTTTATCTCCTTCCCCTCCTGACTGCAGAGATGCTAAAGCCAGGTTCTCTGGGGCGTAAATTGTCCTAACACTGAAAACAGGACACTGTGTCCCTGGAAATGAACAGGAAAGTGAAATGAGGAGATTAATTTGCTGGATGGAGATCAACATGTAGAATCTGTTCCCTGCTCTCCTGCCTGACACTGTGACGGATGCTCTGAATCTTCCCAGTGTCCTTCTCTCATCGCTTGATGACCCGAGACATTTGACAGCCTGTTCCTGGCACTCGTTATGTACAAAGCATTGGGTGACACGAAGTTAAAAGAAATGCTACCTATCTCCTCAGAATGCCTACGGACAGTCTGTCTACTACAATAGATTTCCTGCAGGAAAACTAGTTCACGGCTAAAAGGAAAAGTCTAGAATGCCACAGGAATTTGCAAAAGTTCCATTCTCTTGTTCCCAGTGACAGGAACAAGAGAATGGAACTTTGAGTTCCATTGAGTCCATACTCATGGTTGTCTTGACCAAATTCACAATGTATTTCCCATCATTTCAGTGAGGGGTGTGTGTGTATGTGTGTGTGTGTGTTTAATTTATTTAGAAACAAACCGAATAGGCAACACTAGGAGCCTTTGGTCTCTTGTTATGGAGCTTGACATTCCAGCACCAGGTGACTTTCGGATACTGAGAGCTCCTTGGGTTTCTGATCTCGGGAAAACCTGGGCAGAGTGCGGAGTGGCCTGAGCCCGGACGGGCCTGCATCTCCCTCTGTGGGAGCCGAGGGAGGCGCCGGGTTCCCGGGGAAGGTTGGGACAGTTTCTACTTGTTGGCCAGGCAGCTCGAAGGCTGCTGTCCCTTATGGGCTGCGGTTCGTGGTCATTGCTGGTGAGTGTGCAGTAGCCAAGTATTGTGTCCTAGCGACCTTTGCCTAAAGCCCCAGGACAAACTTGTCACTTTGGAAATAATCTGCTGTTCATTAGTGACCAGAGCCACTAGCCACGTGTTGAGGTTGAACACCTAACACGTGTTTTGGAAGGTCGAGGAACCGAACCTTTATTTATTTTAAATAGCCACATGTGGCTAGTGGCTGCTGTATTTCTAGAGAAATCATGGCAAAAGTGATAATCCAAATATCTCTAAATAGGCGATTACTAGTAAATGGGTAGGAGCTCCAGTGCTGTATGAGAGGCATGGGGGAAGCACCAAAAAGAACGTGCTGTGCTGGTCACGGATTCTCGGGGAGCTTTAAATGAGAACAGGTTATGTTAAGCTGACTTTATTTGTGTCCATTTCTAGATTGGTGCTTTTAAGGGAACCCTTGACATAGAGTATCTGGAGTTAAGCAAGGAATTAGATGAGCCAGATACAAGGTTAGAGGCACATTTTCGAGTGGCTTGCGAGTACCCACTATTTTCTTATTATATAAAATAATAAAATAAAATAAATATTATTTTTAAGCCAGGCTTGCCCTATCCTGTATTTTTCTGTAACAAACGGTTTCTTACTTATAAATAGAATTTTTTACATAGGCTTTTATTTCCCTCACCCAAGTAGAATGATAGTCTGGTAAGAATAATGGTCAAAAGCAATACATTTGAGGTCATTTAACACGTGTAACTGTTACAAGCTCCATTTACCTAAATGGTAACTTGTCCTTTTGTTTGTAGAGAAGGCCCCTCTGTTTTTCTTAATTTTTCTCTGCTCCCAGCAACTCAGAGTAAATGTGTTCATTTCCCCTTTGTTGTTGCTGGTTTTGTAAAACAGCCTCCCCACCCGCCCCTGCTCCCCATCACTAACCGCTTAGGGTTACTTTCCTAGAATGGAACATAAGAAAATGACTGGGCACAGAAAGTTATACTGTTGTCTTTATGATGCCAACAAGTTTATGGGAGCAGGCTGAACTCTCTCAAACCAGACCCCAGAGACATTTCTATCACCTAACATAGACCTGTCCGGGGTCATCTATTCTCATTGTTCCTTGGGAATTGCAGTGGTTGATGCACTGTGCTGACATAACTGTATCCTAAGTCTGTTTTTAATAGTCTGATAATTACCTTTTGTTACATTTGGCTCCCATCATCCTATATGCTTTATTTTGTACACATGAAAGAATTATTCTGAGACAGGGCCTGTGTGCTTCACCAGATCCCAGTAGGGGTTCAAGGTACAAAAACAAGATTAAGGACCCCTAGACTAGGGGTTAGCATCGTTAGGGGACTCTCTTGGTAGACTTTATGTGGATGATTATTTTTTAACCCAGGTTATTACATGATGTTTATTCCTGAGTGATGTGGAATACCTATTCACCAAGTTGAGAGTAACCGAAGGAAATGGCATCCTTAGCGCTTGTTTAGATGCAGACAAAGGAGGTAGGGCTGCTGCTAGCAGCTGCTAAACCTGGAGAGCTTACTCCCGAAGAGCAAACATAGAGCTCCTTAACTGACGCCTTTGACACTTGAACGCTGAGCACCACTGGCCCCTTTGTAAACACTGGGGTCGGCACACTGGAGGCCCCCGGCATTCCTGGCCTGGGCCCTCGTGCTCCATCGGGGTGACATTGCTCTCAGCACGGAGAGCGGTCCCTCCATTTTTTGGTGGAACATGGGATCCAGTGAGAAGTTGTCTTGGTGTTTGCCTCCTTAACCCTCACTCTGAGATGCTGACCTGTCCTACCTTTTCTTTCTCTCGCTTGTTCACAGGTTGGGCAGATGCAGATTCTGAGACAACAAATTGCCAACGAATTAAATTACTCCTGTCGATTTGACTCCAAACATCTGGCAGCCGCCCTGGAAAATCTCAATAAGTAAGTGCCAGCATTTGAAAGGGCCAGATTCTTCAGTACCTACTCTTTAAGTTCTTTTGGGTAAGAAGGCTCTCTGGATGAATAGGCTGCCTTCCCATGGATAAGCAAATCTGTTTCTTCAGTATTGTCCCTTGGGGGGAGTGTGTGTGTGTATGTGTGTGTGTGTGTGTGTGTGTGTGTGAGTGTGTGTGTGTGTGTGTGTGTGTGTGTGAGTGTGTGTGTGTGTGTGTGTGTGTGTGTGTGAGTGTGTGTGTGTGTGTGTGTGTGTGTGGCTTGAAGGATTCATTTCTTCAGCCAACAAATATTGATCACTTAATATATACCAGACACTGTACTAGGTATTTGCACAAATTGAGAAAGCAATTACAGTTGGCCTCTGAACACCATGGATTTGAATTGTTTGGGCCCACTTATAATGTAGATTTTTTTTGTTGTTGTTAGCTTTTATTTATATATATATATATATATATATATATATATATATATATATATATTTTATTGGTTTTTTACAGAGAGGAAGAGAGAGGGATAGAGAGTTGGAAACATCGATGAGAGAGAGTCATCAACCAGCTGCCTCTTGCACACCCCCTACTGGGGATGTGCCTGCAACTAAGGTACATGCCCTTGACCGGAATCGAACCTGGGACCCTTCAGTTCACAGTCCTATGCTCTATATCCACTGAGCCAAACCGGTTTTGGCTCTTATGACTTTCTTAATACTTTTCTCTAGCTTACTTTAGGAATACGGTATATAATACTACATCATACAAAATGTGTTCATCAGCGTGTATGTAATCAGAAAGACTTCTGGTCACCAGTAAGCTATTAGTATTTAGGTTTTGAGGAGCCAGAGTTATACATGGGTTTCCGATTGCTCAAGGGGGTCCCTGTTGTTTGAGGGTCAACTGCTACCACTTGGCGTCCCACAGGCCTGAGTCACTGAGAGTCCTGTAGGCAATTAGGAGTGTTTTCTTTGCCAGAAGTGGCTCTGGGCACGCATCCTGGGTATAATCCTCCTGCTCCCAGCAACCTGTTCTCATGTCAAGCTTCCTACTTAACACATTGCAGACCCACAGTTTTATTGCTAGTGGCCAGATAACTTTCTATTGAAGAAGTACAAAAAATGTTTTACATAAATGTTAAAGACACGCCTTAAAATTAAATATCCCATTGCATTTTGAAGTTATTTATTACATGTTCTTATAAGCTAATATCTTTATTTTATTTTATTTTTTTAATATATATTTTATTAATTTTTTTACAGAGGAAGGGAGAGTTAGAAACATCATGAGAGAGAAACATCGATCAGCTGCCTCCTGCACACCTCCTACTAGGGATGTGCCTGCAACCAAGGTACATGCCCTTGACCAGAATCAAACCTGGGACCTTACAGTCTGCAGGCTGATGCTCTATCCACTGAGCCAAACCTGTTAGGGCCAAGTTAATATCTTTTTAAAGTATGATAGGCCACGAGCCTTAGAACAGAAAACACAAGAATTCTCATGATCTGTCTACAATGTGTTAAGATCAGTAATTCATGCTTCTTGGTCAAACAGCTCAGTCAGTTCATAAAACTCGAGTGGTGAAAGCATTTAATCTGGGTTAATTCCAGAAGATAAAGCAATTTGAGGTTAAGTTTTTCACAGATACCCAGTCGCAGGCCTGGCACTGGAGAAGGAGCAGGATCAAGCCCTGGTTTTCCAGAGGAGAGCACTGAGGCCCTAAGAGTCTGTACTGACTGTTGTAAAACTCTGGGTGTCTCTGCCGGGACCGGTTTGGCTCAGTGGATAGATAGAGCATCGGCCTGCAGACCGAAAGGTCCTGGGTTCAATTCCGGGCAAGGGCATGTTCCTTGGTTGCGGGCACATCCCCAGTAGGGGGTGTGCAAGAGGCAGCTTATCGATGATTCTCTCACATCAATGTTTCTAGTTCTCTATTCCTCTCTCTTTCTCTCTGTGAAAAATCAATAAACTATATTTAAAAAAAAAAAAAAAAACTCTGAGCGTCTCTAACACGGATCTCCACTCTGTGTTTCTCCCACACAGGGCTCTCCTAGCAGACATCGAAGCCCACTACCAGGACCCCTCCCTGCCTTACCCCAAAGAAGATAACACCCTCTTGTATGAAATCACAGCCTACCTGGAGGCCGCTGGCATTCACAACCCTCTGAACAAGGTTGATGATTAAAACATAAAATGGTGTGGTGGGAGACAGAGGTCCACAGAGGCGCTTTGGCCTGGGGACAGATCACTGGGCCAAAATCCTGGGAGAACCTGGGTTCAGATCCCAGCACCTCCCTCCGCTCAGGTCCCCGTCCCTCTGAGCTCCTTTTTCCCACAGGTAGCAGGAGGGGGTGCTCACACCTTCTTGCCCGACTCTGGCTGAGGGACTCAGATGGTAACGGTGTTTGTCCAAGCTCCTTAAGAAGCAAAACGGGCTCTGTCTGTAAGAGATTCCTTTTAGGTTTGGCCAGGGTTTGGGACTTGAACTGCAACCAAACGGTGGCATTGAACCTTCCTGCCCAACCATGTTTCCCTTGTGTCTGATGGTAATCACAATGGTGATCTGCGGCTCCAAACTCTCCTGCAGTTCTCACTTCCAGAATCCTCTGAGAACTGGACGTTTTTTCACAAAATGGTATCAGATCTCCTCTAGTGGCAACACCTGTTTCTGTCAATGTTCATGTTCTGGTGACTGATTATAGGGTGTTATCTAGCCCTATGTTACCTTTGTAAAACCTACAATGTGTGAAATTTTAAAATCTGTCTGATCCCCTGGGTGTTTTGGTTAAAAGATTATGAACCCAAATAGCAGCTCACATTTTCCGAATACTTACAACCAGCCTAGCACTGAAACGTGCCATTGTTTGGTGGGGAGCCCGAGGCTCAGAGGTGGATCATGTTCCCCGTCCCGATCATCTTGGCCCGGCCCGGTGGATCTCGGGGTCACAGCAGTTCTGTGAAACACGCCATTGTTGGGGGAGGAGTCCGAGGCTCAGAGGTGGATCTTGTCCCCAGCTCCTCTCTAGCTAGGTTGGAGCCAGGCAGTCTAAGCTGAGTCCTGCTCCCTAGCCAGACACAACCCTGTACTCGGGCTGCTGGGAGGAGGGAGATGGCGGAGTAGCTGCCTCCTGCCAGGTGAACTGGGAGGGAGACTGCTCTGTGACACCGCCCAGGGCACAGCAAACGACAGGCGACATCTGCTTGCTTTCTGCATGTGTCCTGCCACATGCGGCCAGGTGGAGCTTTCCTTCCTTCTGCCTCCCTTCCTTCCCCCCTCACTCCTCCCTTCTTCCCTCCTGCTTTGCCTTGACTGTTGTACTTGCTTTCCTTCCCAGCCCACACTTGTTCATCACTCTTTTCCTCCCTCCCTTTGTCAATGGCATTCAGAGGATTGTGGGTGTGGGTATGGATGTGGGGGGGTAACTGTTAATCTCTCAGCAAAGTTGTTCCTTTCCCAGAGGGCTAATTGTTATGTAGGTATTTATGTTTGCGGGGATCCAATGACGTTAAACTCTGAAGGCAGCAAATGAATGGAACTTCCTAGTTTTAGGTGGTCAGAAAAGCAAATTGAAATAAGAAGGAACCCTTCCATTTGTAAATGTGTTCTGCAGTATTGTGCAGTGTGGAAAAACATCTGTTTTTTTGTACCTTTCTCTTTCCAGATATACATAACAACCAAGCGCCTACCCTATTTCCCCGTTGTCAACTTTCTATTTCTGATCGCTCAATTGCCAAAACTTCAGTACAACAAAAACCTAGGTATGAGATGAATATATTATTTGCAATAAGTAATGATATCAATAGATCAATAACTAATAAAACAGCTCTTTGCGTAGAATGCTATGTCACATATGAGATATTTTCTTAATTAAATGTATGTTTGTTAGCATAAAATCTATCTTTTAGGGCCTCTGAAACTTAATGCCCCTCCATGAAATGGGCACAGTGGATTTCATATCAATCTACCATAGTCCACTTTTATTTCCAGTGATTAATTATTCAACCTGTAAAATATGCGGGGTCTTGGCTTCTCTCCTTTCTGTAAGTCTAGGCAGCTGATTATGCCTCTACCTCCTGCACACCCTCTACTGGGGAGCAAGCCTACAACTCAGGCATGTGCCCTGACTGGGAGTTGAACTGTGACCACTGAGCCACACCAGCCAGGCTCATTTATATTTTTTATATCTTTAAATTTTTCTATAATCGCTTGATGTAATTATATAATCCAAAAGACAGAGTGATGGTAATTGTAAAACTGAGTAAGTGTTGTATTGTGTTGAATCCTTCAGACCACGGGCAGCCTCCACAATCAATCCCGGGTATAATTCAAAATTTGTCCGGGGTGATTATTCCTTCCAAAGTGTGGCCCAGACATACTGACATTCAGGAGCGGCCCGACTGCACGGACGTCGCCAGAGGCCTGCATGTAACTGGGGGTCTGTGGTTCCTTGCAGGAATGGTCTGCCGAAAACCTGCCGACCCCGTGGACTGGCCGCCGCTGGTCCTGGGGCTGCTCACCCTGCTGAAGCAGTTCCACTCGCGGTACACGGAGCAGTTCCTGGCGCTGATCGGCCAGTTCATCCGCTCCACAGTGGAGCAGTGTACCAGGTACGGAGGCCAGGAGGGACCCGTATGGGAGGAGCGTTCCCGGCACACCAGGTTCCTCTTAGTGCCTCGCCCGGTGGGTGGGGATGGGCTGCTCAGTAAAGCAAGTCAGGGCACATCTCCTTGTTTAGAGGAAACCAAGGTGGGCCCCTCCGCCTCTCCTGCCCAGGGCGCCCCAGGCACACTCACAGGGACGTTGCATGAATGAGTCAGGACCATGATCAGTGCGGGGATGCCTCTCAGACCTCGGGCTCCTGCGCACTCTGGCTGGGCCACAGCCAGGGACAGCTCCACACCCTCGGTGGGAGGCAGGGAGCACGGCTGTCAGACGCTGGACACACACAGCTCGAGCCCCGGTGTGTGATGAGACAGAAATCACACCCCAGTTCCTATTGAACACACGGCTTGTAAACCTGTCATTATTGCCCCTCCCCGGAAAGTTATTCCGTGAGATGCTGGGTCCTGAGCCTCCTTCTCTGGTACCCTAACGGCTCACCCCAGCTCACTGACGTTCTGTCACATCACACATTCAAACCGGGAAGATGTGTCGGTGTGACTTAAAGACCATGAGGATGGTCTTCCCATCCCTCCGACATCAGTTCGGAGGCCGTTTTCTTTGCCTCCTGCCACAGGCTGAGTCAGCTCTCAGGTATCCTGGCAGGTAGTCTCCCGCCTCCATGGGACACACCCTTGGATGAGGCATTCATTACCTCTCAAGGCAACACCGGACACTGGTAAACCCTTTCTCATCATTAAAAGGTTCCTGATTACACACAATAAGCGGAACATGCCATCCAATCTCGGAAAACGTCATTCACTGGGCCTTCTACCCTTTGGAATTAGACAGAATACATGCAGTCCCCTTCCTTCCATCACAAGTTGTTACTGTCACCGCTGCCTTAGGAAGTACGGGTGACCTCCCCCCAAAGGGGGTTCTAGTCTGTTACTCGTTTGACCAACCTAAAATGTGTTTTCCCAGATTCCAAAGCCCTGTCTTAGGGCGGACACCCCTTCATTCCAGGTCCTCAGTGCCCCTGGAGTCGCAGTACTGGGTCCTTGACATCCACTGTGTACCAGTGGCTGATTTTTATATGCATTTTAAATCCTGCCATCTTTTCCCTGAGGGCCTCAACCAGGCCAGTCCTCCTGGTCTTATTTCATGGTTAGAACAACACTGGATATTTTTCTAGGACATGTGGTCAGCCTTTTTCAAAGAGCAAATTTATTTTTTAGCAATTGAGAAAGAGAAGAGCACTGGGAAGGATGGGGAAATCTCAATGATGAAACTGTCACAATCACAAAATAAGGGCAATTGCAAAGGAAAGTGGCAGGTCCCGGAAATTTGATGCATCTCGCCCGGGGCCACGGGGAGAGGAGAGGAGGCCGAGGGCTCGTTCAGGCGGCACCAGGGCGGTGGTTTCCAGTTACCTCCCACCCGCCCACCCCCAGCCATAGTGCGCCGTCTGTCAGGAGTTGGCGGGTCCACCTCCTGTTTCTTCCTGGCTAATGACTACAAAGGAGTAAGAGTGGCTCTAGTTTGGCGTGTTCCCGGCAACCTGAGAAAGGTCAGTAGGTTACAGGGTCAAGCTGCAGCTCAGGATTTCTGATTCGGCTAAGTGAAGTGACATAGGACTGGAGGTGTATGGCGATGCCTTCCTTCCCTGGTTCCAAGCGGGGCAAATATCAGTGTAGCTCTGGCCACACCTAAAAGCTTGAGAGCAGTGGGAACTTCTCCAGTTGTAATCATCATAAACATTCTTTTCAAAGCAAAAGAGCATTAGAGAGATACATCGGTAATCTTACCATTTCCATAGCATTCTTTATTTAGAAAATGCCAGTCTGTACAGAAATCGGAAAGAGTTCTCATACCTAAAGACTCATCTTGATAAAAGTAATGTAAGCTGCACCAGAAGGCCATCATGCATTCTGCTGCATTCTCGCTCTAGAGAGGGGCTGGCACTGTAACTGTGTGAATCAGTACATGAGGAGGATCCATGTGGAAAATGACAAGATGCTGTATTTACTTGCCATTTTCCAGTATACAGTCCTGGTCCAGGCACAGTCCCAGGTACTGGAGATAGAACGTTCAGGCGTGACCCAGGCCCTCCGGAGACAGCACATGAACAACTGAAAATGTAAGGGGCTTGGGGGAGTGACAGGCACACTGAGGGCACAAGGAAAAGGCCGTCCGCCCATAGGAGCAGGGCGGATTGCACCGGGGGGAAGTATCCCCGCTGGGACTGGAAAGACGTCTAGAATTTTACTTTCAAATAAGCATGCAGAGCGAAGATAGCTGCAGAGGCTGGAGGACGTGAGGAAACGTGGCCTGTTCAGGGGTCTGCCAGTCTTTGAACCATGAAGTGCTGAGGGATACCAAGGGGTGAGTCCAGACAGACGGCCGGGTCCTTGTGAACCTAGGAGTTCATCCTCTATGTTAAGACAAGCGAGCAGAATAATGACTTGGTGTTCTTGCAGGTGTTTCTTCTTGGACGGCGTTTAGTAATCTGTCGTTGAGTTCGTATTTCAGTATCCTGACTGGGGGTCTCCCATGTGCAACGCAGTTAATTGATCCCGAGTGTTCCGTTACAGCCAGAAGGTCCCTGAAATGCCCGCCGATGTTGTGGGTGCCCTCCTGTTCCTGGAGGATTATGTTCGGTACACAAAACTACCCAGGAGGGTGAGTGATATATAAAGATCAGCATTATGCCCTTTTAGTAAAAAGGTGGTATTGAGTGGCCCCGACTCTTAGGAGTGAAGCCCAGTAGCTCATTCTCAGGGGCTGCCTGTCCCCTTGCCACTGCTCTGCCCACAGCTCTAAGACGCCCTTCCCTCTCCACCATGCTAAGAGCTTCCGCAAGGAGACAGAATGTCTACCACACCCCTGGCAGAGCTTCCCAGTTCAGGAGAGAATTCCTTCAGTGCCAGGGTAGAGAAATAACCAGGTGTGGTTTGTTCTCTCCATGTAACCAGTTTAAGTTCACGCCACAGCTAAAGTTACATATGACCACTGTTCCAAAAATGACACACCCCTTTTTACCTTTTAAGAATTGTTTTCCTAAATGTGTGTGTGTGTATAATCTGGAAGAATGCAGTACAAAATAATTATCAGTGTAGTTGAGGGATTAAGATCAGATTCTTTCTTATACTCCTGCATTTGTTACATTTCCTCTAATTAGCAGGTAATACCTTTATAATAAAATAAAATAAAAATTAAGCACTGCTTTTAAAAATTACCAATTTCCAGCATAAGTACCTAGCTCTACAACCCATCCCATTTCCCCCTCAGGGGTTTCCCTAAGAACAGCTAAGGAAAGGGGGGCTTTTGGGGGCCTTCTCATCCCCCTCTGGCTTGGTCACTTGCCAGATTTCCTGATCCTCCTGGAGATATTACCCCTTATTACTTCCCCGCAGATCAAAGTGCCTTTAAGAGTTCAGGTTTGCAGGTGAAGAGACCTGGGCAGCATCCTGAGATGTCAGCAGTGCCAAAATAGATACCAGGATAGAGAACACCAGGAACAGAAGTGTAGTCTCAAGGCCTGGCCCACCACTTGAGGCCAGTGCTCCGGGGATTCCCCCTGCTCTGAAGGATATCCTCATTGCTTTAGTTTTCATATGGAAAATGTTGCATGTGTTCTGAGTAACACTATGAATAATTTAACTCGTTTTTTTATGTTAGGTTGCTGAAGCACACGTGCCTAATTTCATTTTTGATGAGTTCAGAACGGTCCTGTAACTTTTCTTCTTCTACTTCTTCGATGAAAGGATCTTCTACTTCTTCGATGAAAGGATTATCCCTAAATCTTCCCACCATCACTAAAATGAATTAAGAGGATGAAACTCAACTACCCATATAAACTGCATGTTTTCCCCTTATCGTGGGAAACATCAGACATTCTGAGTAAGATGTATCTCATGGAAAAAATAGACTTGTTTAAATCATGGTATTATATGCAATTTATATCATGTAGAAGCAGAACACACTTTTGTACTGCCTCTTACAAATGCTGAATGTACGTATAAATTCATTTAGTTTTATGTTCTAAAGAACTATTTGTGCAACTCCAGATTTTCAGTAAAATAGTATTGCCAGTACCCAGTGCCCCTGTTTATTCGAAAATTATGTCTTCAGTGTGCAAACACCTTGTCTAGAAGGTCAGATGAATCGACACACCCAGGACAGGCTGGCGGCTCCTGGTGATAGTCAAACTACCAGCAAATGCGATGTCCACACAATCTGTGGACTGCAGACCAAGCAAGTTTCTTAGTGTCCGTGGCTCACAGTCCCTCTTCTACTCCGACACCCTCAGGGCTGGCTTCCAGCATCTCTTCTAAGAAAATGAGTTTTTGAACAGAACAGAACTTTGGGAACAGTAAGCCAGATACTGCTAAATCAAGGCAAAGTGATGGATGCAAATGAGTCCACTAGTGAAGTTGACCAGAGAAAAAGTTTTCCAACTGAAAGAACTTAAAAGTTAAAAAAGATAAAACCTTATTAATAAAAGCTTGCATGAGATTTTAGCCCTACTAAAGTCATTACTTAATAGTCCAGGTTATATTTTACTGCTCTGATTTCAGGGGAGCATTTACTTTAGTGATATTGGAATTAACTCACAGAAGTCTATTATCTTTTCAAATATACCATAAACTTGGGAAAATATAATTGATTTTAAGGCATTATACCAGGCATTACAAGTGCTGTTGGTTCATTCACTGTTTCTTCAAACAGTCCTAGCCTGCCTTATTAATGCTCTACAGTGAACCTACAAAGAAAGCCCTTGATTACTTTCCTGTATGAATGTATAAATGTGATTAACTCAGAAAAGAACCTTATTATACTCCCTCTCTGGATAGATGAGGAAAATCAGGTTGAGATTTAAGGCAATTTCCCCCAGCATCAGCGTCAGAACAGGTTTTTCTGCATTTTGCATGCCACTGTGATCTTCTTTCCCATCACACTCTAGCTACGTAAAGAAGTCCACAACAAGAAACAAAAATGACCCAAGGGTTCATTCTTCATTTTATTTGTATGTCCCACGATAACTCATTCCAAATACTGAATTCAAAAGAAAAACTTTTCTCAGTCTTAGCACTAATTTATGGTAACAATCATTTCTTTTGAACTATCTTATTTGACCCTTCATTTTAAATTGCAAATTAAAGTATATATTTACATGTTTATATACAAATAAGTTCAAAAACAAATAATTCCAGTCTTGGTCCCAAGAGTTTCCAAGAAGTGGTATAGTACTATGCTGCATAAATCCTCTTCTGAAAGTCACTTAGGACTTGGTGAGTTCCAAATATTCATTCACAAATGGTCCCTCTTTTAAGTTTAAAGAACCAAGTACTTCATTTCTGAGTAAATCAGAGGAAATATCACAGAACACGCTTTGTAAAGTACAGCACCACTACTGAAAATGGCTCGGGGTTTTGTAATCCACGGTTCTGATTTAAAGCAAAAATACGTGGCATAGATGGCGACAGCAAAGAAGTGTCCAATTAAACTTAGAGGATTAGGAGAGAGCCTGTAATAGGAGAAAAACAAAACATAAATATTGGTAAGACACAAATCAAATTTACTAGAAGAGATTTCAATTATGTATATGAAAGCTAAACATTCTACATATAGAGGCCTTTATAAGCTTGTGCCTGCCTGCTACATTTGATGGCAGGGATGAACTTTTAAAACATTTTTACAAGAAACTACTTGGAATATACCTGTCAGAGAATTCAGTAACTGCTCTTAGTCTAGTTTTCACGAGTTGTATGTTTTGAGTTGTTTTCTTTCAGTAATCTTGAGTCTGGCTGATGGGAGTCTAACATTCAGATTATAGATGTGTAAGAAAAGACAACATCTACACTGTCCAAATTATCACTGAGTTTCTTGAGTCCCTACACTTAAGTGGAATTAATTTTTAAATACAAAGTTTTCAGTCATCCATGGCTCCCATCCATAGATCAATGTTGATTAGCCCACAGGTTAAAACAAGCCTCTATTTTAATCAAGGTTTTTAGCCTCATCTATCAACAACTTCTAATCAATGCTGTTTCCCCATAGTAAAGCAGAGGCATAAATGTTGTCTTTTCTCATTTCTCTGGGAATCCTGATTTGCATACTAATGGATAATGAAATGTATAAGGAAGAAAAATTTGTAGTAATTCTTAACAATCCTAAGGAAATCTGGACTATGTTTCCTTTTTGTCAAAACAACTTACACAGAAAGCAGCCCAACAGGACCAGCAACACACTCTCCACCAAGTTTGAAATATAAAAAACAGGCTTTTCTTAGCTGATGTAGGGAATCTAAAATAAAATTTAAAAATTACTCTTAATTATTTATACATTTATGTTAGGGTGCTAATGACATATCAGAATAAAAATGTAACACATATCAAACCTATAATTATTTTTAAAAACTAGTCCTGAAATTCCAACAATCTATTTCTTTTACTTTCCACAATCAACATTATGGATATTGATATTCTTATGAATAAAACTCTGTTAATAAATAACTTTACCAAAAATATAGGTCCCAAAAGTGAGAGTTGTTTAAATTATTTCCTTGATTATGTTATAAATTCAATGATGCAAAATATTCTGTAAACTCTTTTTGTTATAAAATCACAATTCTGGAAAACAAATACCTTGTCTGAGATGCCCAACCCATACCTTTGAGCAGTAAGTTATCAAGTTAAAAAAAATAGTTGTGAATAATAAAAAATAATGCCTTATATCTGTATAACATTTTACACTTTTCAAAGTAACTCATTAAATCCTCACAACATAGTATAATCAATCCATAACCTATTTTTTAAATATATTTTTATTGATTTTTTACAGAGAAGAGAGGGATAGAGAGTTAGAAACATCGATGGGAGAGAATCATAGATCAGCTGCCTCTTGCACACCCCCTACTGGGGATGTGCCCGCAACCAAGGTACATGCCCTTGACCGGAATCGAACCCGGGACCTTTCAGTCCGCAGGCCGATGCTCTATTCACTGAGCAAAACTGGTTTCAGCCATAACCTATTTTGATAGTTTAGAATTAATGTTCTTTTCAGGTCCACCTAGATTTTTTTCTTAACCAATAAAACAGGATGCAATAGGTAAATCTGTACTTCAATAAGCCCTAGCCGGTTGGGCATTGGATAGAGTGTCAGCCTGCAGACCAAAAGGGTCCTGGGTTTGGTTCTAGTCAGGGCTCATCTCAATTGCAGGCTCCTCCCCAGCCCAGGCCCTGGTCAGGGATTGTGCAGGAGGCAACCAATCGATGTACTTCTCTCACATTGATGTTTGTCTTTCCCTCTCTCCCCCACTCTCCCTTAAAAAAATCAATGGAAAATATCCTTGAGTGAGGATTAACAAAAAATAAATTTGTACTTCAATAAGCTCTTCTCCAGTCTCTCATAACTTTTTTTTTTAATCACAGATTGACAGGTTCAAACTCATAATGTAAGAAACACAACTGCTTAGAAAAGCTTTAAGGAGCTAAGGAGCTTAGAAAAACTCAAAACTGAGTTCTTTACTTTTTACTTGCCCAACCAGGCATTTAACTTCCTTACTAGTTAGCGAGATTTGTTTGACAAATCACCATCAATTTTTTTTTCTTCTTTTAGCAAGAATAATGGTTATAGAGGCTACAGAAGGCATTTGTAGTGTATTATCCTTTGTAATCAGATCACCAAACCACAGATCACTAGAGGCCTTGGCCAGGTTATAGAAATAGTGTTGGGATCTGAAGGAATGGGATTTGAGGGTCTAGTTTTGCTAACTGATTTGTACACTGCTGTGGTTGAGAGGCAGCACTCTTGCCTTCTCTCCTTTTCTAGAACTGTTTCTGCCAAGTCATGTTTTCCTTACGATTGACCACCACCTCTCTATTAGAATATGAAAACAAAAGCAGAAGATTTCAAATAAGCAAAAGGTGGATGCATTCTGCTACTTGTGCATTTAAAAAAAAAAATTTTTTTTTAATTGATCTCAGAGAGGAAAGGAGAGGGAGAGAAAGAAAGAGAAACTTCAATGATGAGAATCACTAATTGGCTGACTCCTGACCACCCCCTACTGGAGATCAAACCTACAACCCGGGCATGTGCCCCAACCAAAAATAGAAACGCAATCTCCTGGTTCATAGGTTGACACTCAATCACTGAGCCACAGTGGCCAGGCTACTTGGGCATTTGACGACAAAAACATTTTACCTGGAGCTCACATTCATTTCATAAAATTGTATTTGGGGGAAAAGTGGAAATTAGTGTTTGAAAATAAAATGAACAATTACATTGCTTTTTAATTCATGACCATCAAGACTCTCCATCACAATCTTATGCATCTGGTAAGGGAATTAAAAATTACAGGGATTGGGTCTAAACCAGCAATTGGACATCCCTCTCGCAATCTACTTTGGCTTCTAACCGCTCATCTGCCTGCCTGATTGGCCCTAATCACTCTGAGTGCCGGCCTGCTCGCCCCCAACTGACCCCTGCTGCCGGCCTACTCGCCCATAACTGCCCCCCCTCTCCCCGCTGGCCTCCAACTGTCCCTGCCCCCCCCCCATCCTGATCACCCTCAACTGCCCTCCCCTCTTGGTCTCTAATCGCCTCTACCTGGGCCCTGCCACCATGGCTTTGTCCAGAAGAACATCCAGAAGGTCTCCCAGTCTAATTAGCATATTACCCTTTTATTAGTATATATAGAGGCCTGGTGCACGGATGTGGGCCAGCTGGTTGCCCTGAAGGGTGTCCTGGATCAGAGTGGAGGTTCCCTTGAGCACTGTTATCAAGTTAAAAAAAAATAGCTTCCCGTGGAGCAGCCTGGGCCAGGGGCCTGTGGTGGTTTGCAGGCTGGCCATGCCCCCATGGGGTGAGGGTTCAGCCTGGGTGAGGGGCTGAGGGCCATTTTTGGCTGGCCACACCCCCTTCAGGGTGGGGATCCCCACTGGGGTGCCTGGCCAGCCTGGGTGAGGGGCTAATGGCTATTAGCAGGCTGATCAAGCACCCCAGTGGGAACCCTCACCCCATAGGGTGTGGCCAGCCTAGATGAGGAGCTAAGGGCTGTTTTCAGGCTGGCCACGCCCTCCAGTGATCCAGGCTCCCAACCCCTTATTTTTTTTTTTTTCAGTACCTCCTTGAGTAGAGGCCAGGGCCTGCTGGAGGCAGGTATCTGGGATTTATCTCATGTTTCTCTATTCCTCTACTAAAAATCTACAATTCAATACTATTTATTTTTTAAAAATCTGTACTTACCATCTGTTGCAGAAAATAATTCATAAAGAGCCTGAGCAAGGACATTCACAACAAAAGAATGAGACATTTTTCTTGACCAATAGAATGATTTTTTGGCCTAAAAAAGAAAAAGATCACTTATTATATGGTAAGAAAGGACAAAAAAAAAAAAGATCACTTATATGGTAAGGAAGAAATGTTTATAATCCCCTCAAATAGATATTTATCCTAAGGTCAACATAGAAGCAATTATGCCCTGTCAGTTACTAAAAAGTTTTCAGAGCAATGAGTTATGAAGCAAAGAATATCTCTGAAGCTAAATTTACAACCAGTATGAGCAAATTGGCATGTGCAATCAAGTGTTACCTAATCTTCAAATACAAAACTTGAGAGATTCTCTAAGAGTCACAGGTTGCCAGTCAGGTTCTATAAGCCTGTACAGGATTGCCTAAGAACCTTTAAGCATCAGATCTCCCATCAACGCCCCATTCTTCTTAGGCCCCCCCAAAGAAATCTGTTTTGAGACATTTTGTGTCAGAATAATTTAATCTCTTACCTGGAAAATAGCTGCATCATCATAAAGATCAGGGATACCCTTTAGCAATTTCCTCCACAGTTTTATATCTTTTAAAGCAACACTCATTCCTCCTCCAGTAAGAGGATGCCTTATATTATATGCATCTCCCAAAAGAAGAACACCTATAAAGAGGTAATTTAAAGTATAACATCATTCTGGAGCATCACTTGAGACCAATATATAGATATATATTGAGGTAGATAGATAGATAGATAGATAGAGATAGAGATATGTTAATTTATAAATGTTATTGGTGGGAGTTAGTAAATAATAATATGAAAATAACAAGGGTACAGATCATGACTAAATTTGGTTGAGGCAAAAAATTCAAGAGTTGATTCAATAGCTATTGGATATATATGTGCTAGATACTGGGAATACAGTGAGAAAAAGACTATGATCTCTGCCAAAACCGGTTTGGCTCAGTGGATAGAGCGTTGGCCTGCAGACTGAAGGGTCCCGGGTTCGATTCTGGTCAAGGGCATGTACCTTGGTTGCGGGCACATGCCCAGTGGGAGGTGTGCAGGAGGCAGCTGATCGATGTTTCTCTCTCATCGATGTTTCTAACTCTCTATCCCTCTCTCTTCCTCTCTGTAAAAAAATCAATAAAATATATATATTAAAAAAAAAGACTATGATCCCTGTCCTCATGAAATCCACATGCAAATCTAATATTAAACAATGTCAAGACATTTATGAGGTTTCTTTCATGAAAAAAGAATCTACAGGTATCCAGGCATAAGAAACAAGTTTTCTAACAGGGAGGCAGGGGGGAGACAAGAGGTCATGGACATTTCACAGCAATATTTACTGCCAGCACACTACAGAGAAATGTCTGTACAATACTAAGGAAAGAGGGTAGGCCTAGAAAGATTATATCCAGCCACAGTATAGTTCAAGCTGAAAGGCATCAGGGTAGATAGTCTCAAAACCATCAGAAGTCAATTTAGGAGAATAAACTTTGATTGAATCTTATCTGAAAACTAGAAGCCCAGTGCACAAAATTCATACATTTATGGGGGTGGAGGGTAGTGTCCCTCAGCCCAGCCTACACACTCTCCAATCTGAGACCCTTTGGGGAATGTCCAGCTGCCAGTTTGGGCACGATCCCACAGGAATCGAGCCCAAAGCAGCAGTCACAATCCAGGACTGCTGGCTCCTAACCACTCACCTGCCTGCCTGCCTGCCTGATTGCCCCTAACCACTTTTGCCTGCTAGCCTGATCACCCCCTAACTGCTCCCCTACCAACCCGATTGCCCCAATTGCCCTCCCCTGCCAGCCTGATTTGCCCCCAATTGCCCTCCCGTGCCAGCCTAATCTGGCCTCCAAGTGCCCTCCCCTGCCAACCTGGTCGGCCCCAACTGCCCTCCTCTGCTGGCCTGATCTCACCCCCAATTGCCCTTTCTTGCCAGCCTGATTGCCCCTAACTGCCTTTCCCTGCAACCCAGCACTGACTGCAGGATTAACTTCTGGTTGACTGAGCCTCCTGGTTGTTGCAAACCCAGGGTTTTTATATAATAGGATTAGGAAGCTCCATAATTTGCCTATAGATGCACCTCCTGACTGCTGCCTGACTCTGAGATTCCCAGTCCATTGTCAGAATTATGGGTAATTGTTTTATTAAATAATAACTAAAGCTATCATAAGCTAATTTTGGTATTAGTAATGTGTTAGTTCATGGTAACCAATTCTCTGTCCCACATGTTATTCCCAGCAGCATAAATTTAACCATGTACAGTATATGTCACTTGGAATACTGAATGTGAATATTTGGAATACCATTTATAAAATAAATCCAATAAAATAATACCTCGTTTATTTACTGGTGAAGGAGGAAGGAAGCTTGCTGGCATAGACCTCAAACGAGAATTCTGAGTGGCTTCTAAGAAGGGTTCTTTCAAGTGATCTGCAATAAATCCACCAAATAAACGGTTTATAGCATTTCCATTACCAATTATCACATTTTCTTATCAAGTATAAAGAAATACCTACTATATTATTTGTTATGGTTATTACATATATTCCTTGTGGTAAATAAAAAGCTAATTATTTCCTTAATAAAAGTGCTTATTAAGCACTTAGTTATTCATGCTAAGGAATGACTAAGGAATCTAAGAGAAAATTAATGTAAAAAGAAATATAGCTAAATATTTCTAGATGAACAGTGAAGCAAATTCATATGACATGAGATATGGAGAAAACCACCTGCCTCTCCTCCAGATGTTAACTGACAGCTGCCATAATTAACAATTTATTGTCACCACCATATTCTGGTAATATCAGATGAAATATACTAACATTTCACAAACAGTAGAAGGCTGTTTACTAGAAAAAGAGTTTAAGTAATTAAGTATAAAGATATTTCAAGAATTCACAGACCTTAGACTGCTAGCCAGACTACTTTTTAAACTATTAA